TGTGTCTACATTGTCCTTTTCCTACCTACAGTTTGCTGTCCAGGGTTACACTTGCAAAGGTGGACGAGGCTCGACTCGTGACGTAACGTAGTACTTTGTACAGGTTGAACTGGCACATGACAGACCTGGCGATATTTGTTGCCTTAGTCAGGTGGACGCCCCAAGCTCGCCAAACCTCATGCGTAGTTGGAAGCTGGGAGTAGTGTTGGCGGCTGGCGGCTACGATACCGGTAGTCTAGACGCGGCTCATGGACTACAATTACACAAGTTGGTTTGTTGAGTATTGCCAAGGGTCAATGATCAGTGATTATTGACCGTTGGTATTGTGCAGCAGGACATTAAGATCCAAAAATGCGGTCAGCAGATCGCTGGCAATGCATTTGTTCGAAAATCCACCAATCACGTGCGAGGCGGTCGGCAGGAAATTGGGCCAATCGCCATCGAGCTTGCTTGGACGGAAACAACAAATCCACGACGATGGCAACGCCCGAGGCCGAGACCGCGACGCAGACAGGGACCGCGGTCGGCGACCAGGAGACGCCGAGCCAGTGGAAGAAGGTGACGACGCAGGATGCGTACGAGGCTCCGCGCGCCGAGAGCCCGAAGAAGCTCGTGCTCTGCAGCTTTGACGAGGACGAGACGCAAATCTGCTTTCGCTGCATGTCCCAAGAAGACTACCTCTCGCAGACCGTCGATGCCAAGCGCAAGAGTACGTGGCGTGCATGCGATGGATCTAACACGCGCGGGTAGCGCTCATGACGCTCGAAGAGCGCAAGCTCATCATTACGAGCCATCGCCCAGACGACGCTGATGGCGACGACGACGAGAGCGGCAACGAGTCCGAGGACATGTGGGTCGGTGGCACAAGCTTGCTCGCGCACTGGGAGACCGATGTATACAAGTCCAACGAGCGGCAAAGCCAAGTCATCAGCGAGCTGCCCACATGGACGCCGTCGGCAGCGTTCACGCCCACTAACCCCGTCGCGAGCGACACTGAGACCATGGCCAGCGAGGACGACGACGATGCAGCGACCGAGACCAACAGTGCGATGGCGTCAGATTCAGAAAAGACAGCGTCGCCGCCGACAGAGCCCCTCGAGCTACCAAATGACGATCTCCCGAGTGCAGACGAGCCGATACAAACCGAGCCCGTCGACCTGCCAGGCGTCACAGCCCCGACCGCCGACGAGCCTATGCACACTGAGTCCACGCCCACGACGCCAATCATCTCAGAGATCCATGCTGAGCCGCTTCCGGCACGAGAGAAGAGCCAGGACGAAGCGACCGAAGGCCTCTCGTTCCACGAAAAGCTCCTCGCCGCGTCGCACAAGGCCAAGAATCCGCCGGTTCCCAAAGCTAAAAAAGGCCAGAAGCGGCCTGCCGCCTCGGACGAGGTGTCGTCCTCATCGCCCAAGCGGCCACGCGCCTCCAAAGCCAAGGTCCCTCCAGTGGCCGACACTCCACAAGCGCCCGTGGCAGATGCCAAGCCCAAGCGAAAAGCTGCCCGGCGAACCGCGTCCTACACTGAGAGCGAAGTCTTTGAGGCGTCGCAATCGATGGAGCGGCCGCGAGCAACGCGACGCCTCTCCGAGACCGAGTCGTTTCCCGAGTCATTGGCGTCGACAGAGCTCTCCGCGGCGAGTAGCACCCCCGATGCGATTCGCATTGTGCTCACGGGCATTGAGCCGACCGATGCCATCATGCGCAAGGTACATTCACTCGTCCATGGAGGATGATACTTCATGCAAAGTTGCGTGGAGGTAGATCCGAGCAATCAAAGGCGCTGTGTTTGAAGACGACGTGACTAAAGGCACCCACTTGGTGTCGAACGAGCTCAAGCGCACCGTCAAATTGCTTTGTGGCATCTCGTGCTGTCTCCACATCCTCGACGAAGCATGGTTGCGCGCGTCGGCCAAGATGCGGCGGCCCGCAAACGAGATCGAGTTTAGTCTCCGGGACGCAGAGAAGGAAGCCAAGTGGGGATTCGAACTCGAGCACACCATGTACGACTGCAGCTTGGCGTCACGCCAGTCTTTCTTGGCAGCCCACACGTTCTACATCACACCCCATGGTGACGTCAAACCGCCGAGCACCGAGCTTGAGAAGATTGTCCGGCTTGCGGGCGGCCGAGTACGTCCTATTGCATGCATGCGTATCGTACTGGCGACTTGGCTCATGGGCGGCGTAGGTACTGGCCAAGCCCGAGCGCGGCTGCATCGTCATTACGGCACCAAAAGCGATTGCGACCAAGGCGATGCAAAAGAAGATCCAGCTCGCAGCGCACGTGTGCTCGACGGAGCTCATCTTGCACGGCGTCTTGACGCAGCGCCTCGACGTGGCGGCGCACGCGTTGCCGTAGTATAAAAAAACGTTAGGAAGACAGATCAACAAGCGTCGTTGATGGTAATGGGGCTAGTCGCGGTCGTGGCGAGACCGGCGCGGCTTGGTGCTCTCGACGCGCTGGCCGTGGACGAGGTACTGCATCGCGTGGAAGCACTTGTGGACGCGTCTAAAGACGATAGCAGGATGAGATCGGCAAGACACGAGAGGGAAGCTACGAACAAGAGTTCCGTGTAGTCGGCGACTGGCTTCTTGACCGGTGACGGCGGCTTCGTCGACGCAACCCTCACGTCGACAGCGGGCGGCATCAATTTGATTGGTGAGCTCTCGGTGGGAGGAAGCGCGTCAGCAACGGCAACAACGCTCGGAGAAAGGGCGTCGGCAACAGCAACAACGCTCGGAGGAAGGGCGTCTGTACTGATGCGGCGCCGCTTGTTCTGGCGCGGGTCCGTCGGCCGGTTATCGCTGGCTGCCATTGGCTTGTCGACATGGCGCTGGGGTGTTTCGAGCACGGAAGGTACCACGGGCGCTTCGAGTGCTGACTGCGCGAGGGGCGTCGTACGCGGTGCCGACGTGGGAATCTGCGGCACGGCTTCGGGCACATGAAGCGCTGGCTGTGTGGTATTCTCTGGCGTGACGGCTTCTGACGTGGCCTCCGCCAGAGAGGGAGGAAGCGGCTCAGGATGACAAGGAAGCAGCTCGAGAGGGCAAGAAAGCCGCTCGGGAGGGCTCGAGGTTTGCGGCAGCGAGCGCGGCTTGGTCTCTTTCCTGGCCGGTGAGTCTTTTTGTCGCGGCTCGTCGGGCGCCTTCATTGAGAGTGCGTGCAGCTGCTGGAGCCCGAGCATGGCGTCGAGCACGTTGGGCGTCAGATCTTGGATTGGCATTGGCTTGGGCTTGGGCGCTGGTGTTGGCGTCGCAATCGCTGGGGTCGTGTCCACGACGGGAAGAGGCTCTGGTTCGGGTAGCCCCAGTTGGCTCACTGGGACGATGGGCTCGATGGCTGCCGGCGGCGCTTTCGTTTCAGGGGTCGGCGGCGAATTGAAGCGCGGGGCGATCATGCATTTGAGGAGATGGCCTTCCGGGATCAAGATGAACCAGTAGTCGGGCGAAATCGTTGCGACGCCAGCCTACATGGCGGCATCAGCTTGGCTCTGATGAACAAGTCTCGTCGTACGCGGCTCCGCGAGGAGAAATGCGTCGAGAATTGGTTAAAATGGGCAAACGAGCCCGAGTTGGCGAACGAGACGTAGAACTCTGGGACCTACACGTGGTATTACTTCAGGTACGCTGGCGCCGACGCCAAGTACCTTGCTGCACGAGCTGTCGATGATGGCACGCAGCTCTTGCAGGCTCACGCGCTTCGTCACGAAGACGTCTTGGCTCCTACACGCCAGCCGAGTGAGCCGCGTCGGCGGGACCTGCAGCAGAGACGTACAGCAAGTCATAGACGGTCTCGATGTTCGCCTTGGCCTCGGCCGAGAGCGCGTCTTCCAGCACCTCGCACGTGAAGTGCCACTTGCCCTTCCGGACGTTGAACGTGGTCATGGTCGTGTGCAAAAGTCCTAAATTCAAATCGTTCGTTTAGGATGCTGCCCCATTTCGCGTTTGACGCCTCTTGCAATGCTTAAACGCGTTTAATGCATTTTACCCTGTAGGTTTTTCAAACCGATCGGTTTTACTCACCGGCATGTCGATCTACGACGGCAAAATTGATGCGAGCTGTTCAATGCTGTAGGATGTGAGCTCGTAGTTTTGTCTATTGATCGACTAGAGCTACGACTGAGTTTATGGTTAGTACGACTTCATTTGCAGCCATTTTGCTGGTAATTAAATATCCTGCTGCAGGATACCAGTACCGGTAGAGAACTCCACGATTCAAGCTGCAGGTGCAGCGAAGACCTCTATGTGGAGACAACCCGCCTTGGACATTAACTAGGTTCGATACGTCGTTGCATGAGGGGCTTTCCAGCGTGTACGCGCCAACTTGAAGCAACGGCAACTTGGCGCGGATTTGGTGGCGAGGTATCCGGACATCTTCCGAACGTATCCGGACTCTCGCAGTGGATTCCACGACCGAATTGTATTGCGGATGGAAACCGCGATGGACGTACTCGACCGCTTCGTCGCGGCCGAGGAGAGCGTCGTGGACAAGCTCTTCCGCAGTCGCGGGCAGACGCTGCGCCTCGAGCTGCAGTCCCAGCGCATGCTCTCGCCTGAGTCGCAGAACCAGTCGTCCGGCCTCGCCACGTTTCCTTGCCTCCTCCTCTTCCCACAGCTCGACGCTGCGCATCGGGCGCTCTTGGCAGGCCTGCGCCTCGTCAAGACGCAGTCGCCGACGCTCAGCGACCGTGCAAGGAGCTCGGCCGAGCTCCTCTTTGAGCGCGCGCTCGAGTTCAAGACGCTCCATGCAACATACGCGTGGTACCATCAGCTCATGCCGCCACCGAGCGATCCAAAGCTCGATGCGCTCTTCCGCCTTCCACTTGACTGTCTAGAGGCGTACGCGGTGTGTATGGACGCGCTCGCGCCGTTTGCCGAGCGTCCAGACGACTGGTATCTCATGTGCGACCGGCTCCACGATGCGTTCTCGGACATTACGACCCAGCGGACGCGCGCGATGGACATGCTGGCGCTGGAAGAAGGCCTCGGGAGCGGCATCGATCTCGTGGCGAGGACGCTCATTGCGCAGAACGTGGTCTCGATCCAAATGACGGGCGATGCGTCGCTGCAGACAGGCACCTTATACCTCTTCGAAGATCTCTGCCTCATTGTCGACACGAACGGGCACGACCTCTTCCAGCTGCAAGCCGCCGAAGTCTGCAAGGCGCTTCGTATTCCCAACACACCCGACTGCTTTCTGCTCACGCAAGATGCGCACTGTACGATTCTGGCGGCGCCGGCCGTCGTGCACTCGCTCCTCACTTGCATCAACGAGCGCTTCCTCGCGCCCGACACGTTTGCGTTCGACTTGCACTCACTTCTGCATACGATGGACAGCGGGCTTCCGACCGACTGGCTCGTGCCCAACTCGGAGGCCGCGCAGCAAGCGCTCGTGCGGAGCGACCTTGTCTGGCTCTACGAGAAGGACCGACCCCGACCGATGCTCTGCCAGTTCTTCCTCCTCCACGACATGATTCTATACGGCGAGGTCGTCGGCATGGCCCACTGCAAGTACCTTGGGTACTTTCTTGGCGAGTACGTCTCGCTGCGCCAGCACGATGTCGAGAACGTCGGTCGTTTGGAGCTTCTTGTGGCGCACGCCGAGACGCAGCACGAGCTTCTGTTGGTGCTCGAGCCGCTGGACCCGACGGCAACGGCTCTGTGGCAACAGCACATTGCATCGTTTGTGCGAGTACCCGAGGCGACCGCGCCTTTGGACGAGTCGTCCGTGACCATGATGCATGACGAGTCGTCGGTGACGACCATGGCGTCAACCGCCGACGCCATCACGTCACCGCCGCCGTTTGCGTCGCCAAAAACCACGTGGCGCAAGAAGAAACCAAAGGCGCTGACGCCGTCGTCGACAGAGACACATTTGCCAACGCCAACGGCCGAGCCAACGGCCGAACCAACGTCAAGAACCGAGACTCCCGCGCTCGACTCGAACGAGACCAACACGGCGTCACAAGAGACGTCGGGGGTCCGATCCGGCGTCGCTGACGAACCACCAAGCGCAGCGACGACCATCTTGACGTCGATCGTCCCCATCGCAGCGCGTGGTACTTTGCGAGACCCGATTGATGATGACACGGTGGCCAGTACGCCGGATACACCGGACGCGCGGCAGCCCCGGGGACTCGCCATGTCCGAGGCGTCAGTCAACGACCAAGCTCGTGACGAAACCAAGACCAAGCGCCGCCCGCCGGCCAAGAAGAAGCTCTTGAATGAGACGGCGCCGCTTATCGTCGAGTTTGACGACGACGTGCCACTCGCACGCGACATTGCCTCGAAACCCACCAAAGCCAAGCCGCCCGCCAAGAAGAAGGCGCCGGCCAAGAGCAAGAAAAGGGCGGGGCCCGTGACGCCGCGGACCGCGCCCATCGCGAACGGTGACGTGACGACGCCAGCCCCCGTGTTTACGACGGCGGTGCCCACGAGCAGTGGCAAGAAGCGCAAGGCCAAGGCCACGCTCGTCAGTCCTGTCCTTGGCGCGCCGGCCATTGACGAGTCGGACGATGATGCGCCGCTGCGGTCCAAGATGGCCAAGACAGTCCCCGACTTTCCACCGTCGACACAAGACATGGAAGGCAGTGCGATTCAAATTCTGTGTCGCATTGCTGACGCGCCGCCATCATCGTCGTCGGCTCCGTCGCCGACGGTGCTGCGCATTGTGCTCACGGGCTTTGTTTCGACGGACGCGCTGCTCTTCGAGGTCTACGGTCGCAGCATCGATGGACGCTCACGCTCTAGTAGATTGCAGCGATCGCGTCGGCGCAGTACGAAGACGATGTGATGACCGCGACCCACATCATTGCGCCGCGAGGCAAGTTCAAGCGCACAGTCAAAATCCTCTGCGGCATCTCGCGCTGCTTGCACATTTTGGACGAAGAGTGGCTGCACGCGTCGGCGGCGCTCGGCTATGCAGCGCCCGAGGCGCAATACTGCCTCAAGGACGACGAGAAGGAGGCGCTGTGGGGCTTTACATTGCGACGCACCATGTACGAGTTTAGCTTGGCCCAGCGCCAACGCCTCTTACGTGGCCACTCGTTCTACGTGGCAACGCACAAGAGTATCTTGCCGCCGCCAGGCGAACTCACCAAGATCATCACATGCGCGGGCGGCGAGGTCCGAGCGTGGTTGCCATTCTCTATTTGACAGTCGTGCCTAGATGACGTCCGGCCTGCCCAAGCCCGATACGATCGTGATCGCGTCCAAGGAAGCTGTCGCGACGAGCGCCGTCCAGAAACAACTGCAGCACATGAGCCGCGACAAGTGCTTTAGCGTCGAGTTGCTCCTCATTGGCATTCTCCAGCAGACGCTGCAGTGGGACGCCTTCCGGATCCACTGTCCGCTGCCACGAAAAGGGCGATGATAACGTAGTTAGTACAAGTTGTTATGGTCGAGTCGGTCACAGCCGCGCAACGAGCGGGGGCGTCGTGGGCTCGCGGGGAAAGATGTAGCGCTGCTCCTACACGCCGAACGAGTTCAGAGAGACGGAAGAGGACGGAGATGCGTACGAGCGCCAGTCCGTGCTCGTCGGCGAAGCTCAGGCGCTTGACCGGTCGCGTCGTCGGTGGCATGGCGCTTGTTGGCTGGCCTTTCCGTTGACCATTCCGCCGGATACGAGAACGGGACCCAATCAGAAGGCAGATTCCCTTACGACAAGTCGACGTCATCTTAATGGTGGTCGACATTCCCGGGCGGTGGCAGGATGACAAGCAGAGGCCGAGAGCTAAGATAGCACTGCTAGCGGAATGACATCAAGAGCCACTCCTCAAGGCGTCGCTTCCTTGGCATTATGACGAGGTCGTCAGAAGTAACAATAATCACACGCCATCTGCTGCCATGGCACCAGACCCCGAGCAAGATGCCTTTGGAATTAGCTCTGTATGCCTTGAAATGCGTGCAACAAGCACTGCTGTCCCAGTAGAGCTGAGGAGGCGGAAAAGGGGTCGACGAACTAGTTTTTTCCAGGAAGGGCAGTCTCCACCCTCTCTGCTTTTGCCTGCAACACGCGATGAAAATCATGGACGTCGCGGGCATAAAGGACGTGGGCGCTCGCGAGCATCTCTTTCGATATCTTCGCTTCAATCGCTAGGCAGAGCTGTGCTTTGTGTCGCCCGAGCCCAGAGTTCACTGCACGAAACCTGTGGCCAGTGCGTGTAGGTGCAACACCCACAGCATTCATTGACAAGCACCACCCGGTCGCCTTTTTCTTTCTTGCGAGACGACCGCAGCGTGTTGCGGGCCGTTCAAAGCTGTCCGCAATGCTACCGCGAGTGAAACACTCGATGCGCAAGGCGGATTTTCCATCGAGGTCCGACCTCGACAGCCTCCTCAGTGGAGTTGACCTTGCACAAAGAGCCACGCAAAGTGCCGGCTAAATCTCACTTCCGCTTGGACTCTACAGCGCGTCAGCTGGCACATGGCGCTTCCACGTCTTTTTCACACGGTTTATTTCATTTCATACAAACAGCAAGGTAACTGCCAAAAATACAATGCCCACCGCGCGCGATCTTGGTGGTTCGGCAGAGTGGAAAGCCCTATACCGCGGTCGGCCCGAACAGCAGTCGACGTATATTTGGTCTCGCATGGCCTTTCTCTTCCGCCTCCTCGGCGATCTCATCGCGACGCGGGATGAGCCCAAGGCGCCATCGCTCGCCAAGCACCAAGCCAAGAAGAAGTCGCACCAGTATCAACAGCCCGTGTCACGGCCTCATATCGAGTCGGCCTCGTACGCGACCGACTACTTTGACGCGATCGTCGAGCTCAGCAACCATGACGCGGCGTTCGACCGCAGCTCGTCGATCAGCGACGTCATGGACTACAACGACCCGTTGACACCGAGCCCGATGCCAAGTGCGCTCTTCAGCAAGCAGTACTACATCCCGAGCGACGACGACGACAACAACAACACTGCGACGGACGATGACATTGTCGTGAGCAACCACAAATGGAACTCGCTCTCGAAACCCGATGCGTTCTTGGACCAGATCCTCATTGCAAGCACGCAGGCCGTCAACTACAGCGTGAGCTCACAGACCAAGAGCGAGATCGCGCGCGAGATCCTCCAGCAGATCGTCGCGCCATCGAGTGGAGACGACGCGCCGCGGTCGCTTCCGCGGCTCCACTCGGTGAGCCCGCAAGTGAGCGTCGAGGCATCCGCCGAGGGGCTCAAGAAGACGAATGTGAAGTCCCGCCGACGCAGCTCCAAGTGGCTCTTCGAGTACCAAGAGACGTCGCAGATGGACCTTAACAGCTTTCAGCACCAGCTTGACGAAAGGCTCTCGAGCTCCATGGAGCAAGACGAAGCACCGCTGCTGTTCGAGCCGCCGCCTCGGTCGTCGCAAAAGTCGATCTCGACACGCAACCACGCGCTCACGATTGCAAAGGAGATGAGCTCGCGCAACCACTCGTCCAAGCTCCAGCGACCGACGTCGGATGACAAGCCGACGTTGATGCCGGTGTCAACCCAGCGCCTTCTTTTCCAGCGCCAGACAAGCCCGCCCGTGGAACCGACGGCGTTGCCGATGCGCTACACGCGCTCGGTGCCTCAGCAGACGGACGCCGCGCCGCCCGTGTCCCGCCTGCGCTCCAAGCGCGACGTCGTGAAGCCACCGACCGTGTCGATGGGTGCGTTGCAGTCCGCGGCCGTAGAGACTAAGTACGGGCGCCAACCGAGCCACGTACCGTCGCAGCGCGACACGGCGCCCCATCTCCGACGGCAGCTCGGCGAGATGACCCCACGTCGGCAGTCGCCCCAGGAGACGGCTTCAAGACCAACTACACCGCTTCGCCAGTACTCGACGGCCGAAGCAATGCCTATGACACCTCGCCGTCAGCTTTCTCGCGAGCTGTCCCGCGAGCCGACGACACCCCGACGCCAAGCCTCCCTAGAGGCCCGGACACCGACAACACCGCGTCGGCTGCAGTACACCGAACGTACAATGGCGACAACGCCTCGTCACCAGTCGCACTACGACTTGCCAGTGCGTCGACCAAGCTTTGGAGAGCCAACACCGAGCCGCCGTCCGAGTTTCGGGGAGCCAACACCGACACGCCAGCCCAGCTATAAGGAGCCGTCACGGCGTCCGAGCTTTGGCGAGTCCGATCGGCGCCCAAGCTTTGGGGAGCCGACACCCAGCCAGCGTCGGCCACAGCCCGTCTCGCAAGTATCGCGCTTGAGCTACGACGGCTACGAGCACGTTCCGTCTCAGCCCCCAAGTCAAGTGCGCCGAACCAGTCTCGGGCACAGCTTCATCGAGGTGGACGGAGCGCCCCGGCCTGTCGCGCGACGCATGGACTCGTCCGAGCGGGAAGCTCGGTACGGCCGCAACGAGTACCTGAGTTTGCGCCCACAGATCGCGTCCAAGCTGCCGCTGGAGCCGCAGTACGGCCGCCGCCCCAAGTCGCACAGCAGCGACGTGCGCATTCATCGGCCGACGTTCTTTGAAAGCAGTAGCGAAGACGAGCCGACCGACATGCTCTCGCAGTTCCAAGCCATTCGGAATCGCACCGACCCAGCAATTCAAGCCCGACTCGGCCTCAACGCGCGGCTCTCGGAGGCCGTGCAGCGCATTCCGACCGAGCGGCTGCCATCGACTCGACCCAAGACGCCCAAAAGTCGCAAGAAGGTACGGTTCATCGAGTAAGGTCAAGAAATAGCGTGTTGTAGCCTATAAAAAGCTAGATTTCTTATTGCATAGCCTCTGGTATCCTGTTGAGATGTGAAATTGAAATCACATGTTGCGCTGCGAGGTTGCCATTCGTCTCTCGGCGCGCCGCCACTCCGTCAAGCTTTGCCTGAAACTGAGGTCGCTCGCGGTTCGATCCTGCTCTACCTGGTGGCAGACCAGTGCTGATATGCTTGAAGTGAACCACTATGATACCCTCCCAACCTCTGCGTGCCATGCAGCGACCTGCCACACCACGAGATTCGCATGGAAGGCTGACGTCGAATCTTGGGTTCACCCCGCATGACGCATGATTGGCCAGCTACTTAAGCTGGAAATGCCACACAGCCCATAGGGAATGATTCGGCAGCCGACACCAGCATCGACGCCTTGGGCCCGATGAAGCGGCGGACAACCTCGAGCAACAAGCGCACTCCGACGTCGCCATGGCGCGCCCACGCTTGCTGCTTGTTGAAGTTCTGTTATCCGGATACGGATGCCGGATGCAACGATCTGTGGTCCGCTGGGCAGCCACTTTGAAAATCTTCCCGTCGTCTCCCGAAGAATCATGCAGCACCTCCGCTCGACCGTGCTCCGCGCCGCCCGCCACCAGCTTCGCCGCCCCATCGCCGCCCGCGCCCTCCCGGCCCGTGCGACGTCCTTCGTCCCGAGCATGATGAACGTGCGTGGCTTTGCCAACTTTGCCGCGGACGATGAGGAAGAGTTTGACTACAACGGCTTTGACTTTGGCGACGACGAAGACGAGGACGATAAGGTCAAGTACCCCGCCCAGAAGGCCTTCGTGGGCCAGGTCGCGCCCTCGTTCACGGCGCCGGCGGTCATCCGCGGCGACATTGACGAGCTCTCGCTCGAGAGCTACCGCGGCAAGTACGTCGTGCTCTTCTTCTACCCCAAGGACTTTACGTACGTGTGCCCGACCGAAATCATTGCGTTCAACGACCGCGCCGCCGAATTTGAGGCGCTCGACACGCAGCTCATCTGCGCGTCGATCGACTCGCCCGAAGTGCACTTGGCGTGGACGCGCCTCCCGCGCAACGTCGGCGGCCTCGGCAAGATGAAGATCCCGATGGTGTCGGACTTGACCAAGTCGATCGCTGCCAAGTACGGCTGCCTCAAGGAAGACGACGGCATTGCGTTCCGCGGCCTGTACGTCATTGACCGTGAAGGTGTCGTCCAGAACATCACGATCAACAACCTCCCGGTCGGTCGCTCGGTCGACGAAGTCCTCCGCCTTGTCAAGGCCTTCCAGTTCAACGAAGAACACGGCGAGGTGTGCCCGGCCAACTGGCAGCCCGGCCAGGCCACGATCCAGGCCAACCCCAACGACGCGCAAAAGTTCTTCAAGAACGTCAAGTAAATCTGCATCCCTACCTCTCAATCCCACATTTTCTTGTGTGATTTTCGGACATTCTTTGGCCACTCGAGCACCACTCTTGGCCTCCAAGTCAGCGACTTCAATTCCCGGGACACGCCTCCTTTATGACATATACTGCTAGTCAAAGAGCACATCGTGCACTTGCAATGCGAGCTGCGCATACGGTGGGGTCGGCGCGTCGTACCGCTGCACCTATCGCATCGCGTCCCAACACTGGTTGTTGTCGGTGCAGTACTACTACCTCGTACACCACGCGCAGGTCGGCCACGTCGAGCTCGCAGTCGTCCGACGCCGAGAGCGAGAGGCGAAGGATGTCGCCGGTCGCCCACCCGCGCGTCGCGATCGAGCACACAAAGCTATGGGGCTTGCGAAAGACGCCATTGAAGTCACTAATGCCACCCTAACCCCGCGTGGTCATCTTTTACAAAGCGAGCAAACTACCTCTGCGATCGTAACGATCGATGGGGACCAGCTCTTGGCCCGGCGCAGGTGCAGCTTGAAGCAGTCGGGCGAGAAGACGTCGAGCACCGAGATCTACGTACAACAATATGCGCTGGCAATTGAGCCTCGAGCGCACACCTTGGAGGCGGTGAGGTGCAGCGCCCACACGAGTCGAAAGGCGCCGTCTTCCGACATGTAAATGTTGGCGAGACGTGCTTCCTTGAGATGGTAGAAGTCGGCCTGGTGGCAGTATGCGATCGGGTGCCATGGCACACGCTGCGGCGCGAGGGCCTTGTAGTACAGGTGGCGAGCGTCCACCTGTACTTGGCTGCTTCAAGTTGACGTCTTCTTTTGGTTGTACGTACATGATGGTGCGCTTCGTGCATTCCATCGAGACAGAGCTCCACACGCAGAGACGGATCCCGCGCAACAAGAAGGTACTGGATGCAAACGCGGTCGCCGGCCAGCACAACGGCGCTGACCGCGTGCTCGAGGTCTAAGAATGGTCATGGTGACCGCTCCTTTTGCTGTCGATGCTCACGGGTGGACCACGGTGCGCGGCCATCGACGAGCACTTCGGGCTCGACGTCGCGCGCGTCACACGAGCTACACCGCGTGCGTCGACATGAGGTCCATGACGCGACATCGGTCACCGCTGATGGAGGACTTGCCACGCGATGTGGTCCATCAACGTGGCCGCATGCGTCGTCTTGGCGATGAGAGACGCTCTGCAGCGCCACGTTAAACTCAGACGCGCGTCTCGGTGAACGTCAAATTGCGCCACAATCGTCCACGTATTAACCTACAAGACGACCATAGGAGCGTGTCGTGGATGTTGTCGGTCGTACATCGAGGAGCTTGACGTCGGAAGACGTGGACGATGCGTGTACAATGTGGGTCGCATCACAGAGCATGGCGTGGCCGTTGGTGGCGAGAGCGGTCGCCAGTGCCCGCATCCGCTCGTCGACGCGGCCCTCGCACAGCCTACTGACCTCGTTATACGGTCGTTCGATTGGTGCACGAGTATGACCGAGCCATGGCGCCGAGGTCAGTGAGCTGCGGTGACGCTGCCAGCGCATGCGTGAGCGCCGCCAATCCCGACGCCTGGCAGTGGTTCTGCGCAAGACTTAGCCGCGTCAAGCACTAAATGCACTCAGATCTGATATGCTGCTGGTCATCGTACGGGCAGTCGTGGGAGGTACTCGGCCAAAGCGACGATACCCTCGTTCGAGATTTCGTTCTTGTCCAAGCCGAGCGCCGTCAGTGTTGTGTTGGACTAGATACACGGCATGCGACGCGGTCGATTGCGGCTACGTCGTACCTGCAGGGCGTCGACCAGTGCAAGGGCGCCGGCGCTGCCAATGTGATTGCACTTGAGCTGCAGCTTCAGCAGCGGGAACGCTGCCTGCGTGTCGATAGCATGGGCGAGGATCTAGCATCCATCTTATGGACGGCTTTGAGAACGAGAGGTGCATACGCGGGCGCCGGCGATACCAACAAAGCAGTAGGAAAGGTCGAGGGCTGTGAGCTGCGTCTGCTGGCACAAGACACCCATGAGCTCCGAGACCGTCCTACAATGATTGTAAGGTATGAAAGGTGACGGGCGATCAAGACCAACACGGTCGAGAGTTCGGCGTTTGCGAGCGACAAGGCGGTGAGCGACAGTTGCTTGAGCATTGGCTTGGGGCCAAACTGTGCGTCGCGTAAATGCTTGGAGTGGAAGCCGAGGCCACGCACAAAGTTCTTTGCCAAGCGGGGCTTGCGTCGCTGGGCCACCGTAGCTGGTGAAGTCGCCGGGTTCTCAAAGTCGCCCAAGCTGATGGCGAGCGACTCGAGGACTTCGTTCATGTAGAGGGCTACAACGAGCAACTGTTGAGAGAAGACGATAGGCATCCTCCGTGGCGACCGTCGCGCAACAAAGGGATCGACGTGGCCGAGTACGTGAAGGGGTTGCCGAGCACGTTGAGCCACACGAGGGACACGTTGGTGCTAAGGCGTTCGCACACGAGTTGAAACGCGTGGTCGCCAAGGAGGTTGCAAGCTAGGTTGAGCCCGAGCAGCCGCGGTCGCTTCGAGTTTAGCAGTGCACCTACGTAGCTTTTTTGTACATTGGTAAAGCAGAAGCGAGTGAGGTACGCAGCTCGTTGCACGCGCCGTCGTCCAGCTGGTTGTGGCTCGCATCCAGGGTGCGCATCGCGACAAACCCCGAGAGATTATGGCAGAAGAGAGCGAGGTCGTGGTTCCGGAGACGCTGGCGCGCGATGCACACGTGCACGAGGTCCCTACGCCCCGTCCTATGAGCCAGCCACCTGCAGTACAACGCGTCCGACCGAACGCAGCTCAAGTCATTCGCGGTCTGGAATTGATTCCAATGGTTCTACCGGCACGTTAGGACGCAAGAGTTATATGCGAGGTACGAGAATCGGGGTCGCCGGCGTCGGCAAAAGCTTCTTGGGCTGCGGTGCGTACGGCACCTCGACGTCCTCCGAGGTATCGTCAGCGTCGCTTGCGCTCTCGAGACTGTCGGTCATCGGCGACTCGCAGGCGGCGAGGGCGTCGCGCAACGCCTCCTTCTCGACCAGCTCTAAACGATGGCGTGCGTCTGCGTATCTTTGCAGAGCGAACGCACCTGTGAGCTCGTGCACGAGGGCCTCTCGCTCCTGAAGCCCCTCGGACGTCGCCACAGACGAGCTCGGCGAGCGTGGCGTCTCCTGCCGCCGGCGCCGTTCCATGCCCTCTCAAGATCCCAGCGACTTTGCACTTTCTACCTAATTCGATGCGGTTGGCCCTCGACTAACTACAAGTACGACTAAACTCGAAGACACGTTGTACTAACCTTACTCGTCCTACTATTCAGTATTGCGTCGTCAGTGGATCGGGATAAAGCCGTCGCGGTAGACCGACTGGCACGGGTACCGCACAACTTGCTTGTACTATAGTACACGCATGAGATCCGTACAAGGCAAGAACATACCGCCAGCGTCGCGTACACGAGCAAGCCAAATCCCAAAAGCTCCAGCCTACAAGGTGTCAACTCGAATCATTGCCAGCTGTGGTGCAGACCAGCTCCACGATGTCCACGACTCGCCCATGCTCGGTTCGTTCGCCACGTAGTAGAGACCCAGACCCAGAAGCCACACGCCAAGTGTGCGTCCATTCTACAGGCCTCTCTCGAGAAGCTGCATATCGGCGCTGCCACGTACCTCGATCATGCTCCGGACGATCGAGCTCATGTGCTTGGTGACCCAGTTGGCCGCCACCTACCGATACTCGTTCTCTCCTCCCAAATCGCATGGGAAGATCCTACGTTGTAGGTTGCGACGCAGAGAACGTACAGGACGACGAGGACGACCAGCGACGGCGAGTGGCGTAGCTTGATCCACGTATCGCCAAAGTCTTCGTGCCAGATCGTGGAAAGCGCTGACGAGCCGGGGGCCGTGTAGCTCAGACACGGAACGAGCGGCACGAAGAGGACGAGGCCCCAAATGCCTTCCATGCCGGCTTGCAGCACTGGGCTCACATGCAATGTCGTCATAAAGTACTCTTCGATCGCAATGTTGACCGAGTAGAGGAAGCGCGAGAGGAGGATGAAGAAGAGACCGATGGCCATGTTGGCGCCATCGTCGGCGGCCGAGTGCATCGACGGGCTCTGCGCGTAGCTCGCGGCCGAGACGCAAACGAGCGCGAAGGCCACGAGCGCAATGCTCACGTAATGGTATGTGAAGAGGCGAACGTGGAGGAACTTGACCGAGAGGAATGCGCTAAAGATGAGCATCGAGCCGCCGCTCATTTGGTAGATCGACGCCGGGATCCAGAGCAACCCAATGAACGAAAAGACGCTCTGCACGAGGTCCAGCGCGGCCGGAATGATCGTCGCCACCAGCGTTGTGCACGTGGGCGTCTCGGGGGCGCGCAGGGCGTCGTACATTGTCATGCTCGCGGCGTGCACCGGCGTCTCGAGGAACGACCGGTGCAGCAGCTTCTTGCGCGCAAAGAGGTAGACAAGACAGAGAGTCATGCCAAGCTTGACTTGCAGCACGCCAAACCACGGCTTGTTGAAGGCGCAGAGCAGCGTCGACGTGGCATGGCCAGTCGTACTCGTCGTGGCGCACGACTCGGACCCGAGCGATACCACGGAGAACTGCATCTTCATGAGGATCGTGTTGAGCGCGCCCGTGAGAAGCGTCACGACGGCAATCGCCTGCGGTGTCGGGTGCATCGTACCAATGTGGATATGACAAGTAGCCACTGGATTCGAATTCGATGCCGGTTACGGCGACAAAAGGGCAAGGTGGCAACTTCAACTCGTCCGGATACGATGCGATGGACTCTCTCTTGGCAGGCAATGCCGTCAAAGGGTCTCTTCTTGCCTCGTGCGGTGTGCGCCGCCCGGCCGTGAACCTGTCTGCAGCCACCACGTGCAATCTGCCGCGCGACTTGGGTCAAGCTCGTCCTGCGCTTTTGCCATCGTAACGACAAGGATCGCACGCCAAGCTCGGCGCGCTAAGCTATGTGCAGCTTGTTGGCCAGCGCCGTTCGCATGTACTAGTAATAGTTACTACTAGTACACACGACACACACATGGTACACACGTGCCAGTGCGACGTTAGGCCAAGTTAGTGCTCTATGTGTCGTCCAGTGCCTCACCCGCGGCCATGAGCGTCGTAGGGCGACGACAGAAGAGCCAGACGAGCCCCCGCGCCGCCGCCTGCGCAGCCACGGCCCGGCGAGCGAATGAAGAAGAAGGAGATTGCTAGTCTCTACGTATGCGAAGTCTTTGTGTAATAATGAAGATAACGCGAAACACGGTCATACATTGGTGCTATACATTTCCTATCGAAAAAATCGCGATCCGGAGGTCTCTTGAAAGCAGTGACAAAGACTGACGGCAAGAGGCCTCACCCGTGCGTCTCGTCCACCCAGCGCGATCCATCATCATGGCCTGCGACGTATACGCGAGGTGATGTATCCACGATGCTGGCCAGGAAAAAAGACATCCGGATAACGTTGGTCCCGCGCAAAAGTATTGGTCATTTCGCTAGAGCATGTCGGTCGTGAGCAGCGTTCCCCGCCTGCGCCTCGTGACGGACCCGAACAAGGGCCGGTCGCTTGTGGTCGCGTCGCCCGAAGGTGTTGTCGCCGGCACCATCCTCTTTTCCGAAAAGGCGTACGCAGGCGTCGTCCTCTCCGAGTTCAACGGCGCGATTTGCAACGTCTGCTACAAGGCAGCGGACCCGGACATTTGCTGCGACGACTGCTCCGAAGTCACGTACTGCAGCGACGCATGCCAGTCGCTGCTGCAGCATGTGCACGACCTCGAGTGCCCCGTCCTCGAGGACATTGACATCATGGTGAAAAAGTCGGGCACGGACCGCGACCTCCTCCGGCTCCTTCTGCGCCTGCTCTGCACCCGCGCGTCCGAAGCCGCGCGCCCTACATCGAGCAGTGATGTCGTTGCCACGACGTTCGAGCACGTACGCGAAATGGTCCATGCGACGCATCTCCTCGGCGACGCATGGAACACGTCGGTGGCGTCCGGCGCCGCGATGCTACTGGCGGCGCTGCCGTCGTCCGTGACGGCGTCGCTCACCGTCGACGACGTGGTCGAGCTCGCGGGCCGCATCAACGAAAACTCGTACTCGGTCGACTCGTGGACAGGCCAGCCCATGGTGACAGCCGTCTGCATGTTTCCGCTTGCCGGCCTCGTCAACCACGCGTGCGACCCCAACTGCACGTGGTCCAACGCCGGCGACTCGACGATCGCGGTCAAAGCGACGCGGTTCATTCCCTGCGGCGAAGAGATCTCGCTCACGTACATTGACACGAACCGCAGCCGCGACGTCCGGCAGGCCGACCTCGCCGCCACCAAGCACTTTGACTGCCGCTGCGCGCGCTGCACCGAGCCGCTCGCCACGTCCGTGGACCTGCGCGTCGACGGCGTGTGCTGTGCGTCTTGCGGCGTCGACGGGCTCTTTGTCGGGTCTTTGGAGGACAAGACGACGCCGTGGGCGTGCAAGGGCTGCGGTCGCAGCGTGAGTGCCGACGCGATCGAGCAGTTCAAGGTCGAAGCCGCGGCGCTTCTAGCGCGAGCCGACGCTGCGTACGCCAAGCGCCAGTACAAGGAGACCACTGACGTCCTCGACGACCTCCGGGAGCACTACGACGTGCACTCGACGAATGTCGCGGATCTCTTCTTGCACCCGAGCCACTATATCCTCACCAAGGCGCTCCGGGTTCTCGCCGACTGCAACACCAAGATCGGCAACATCGAGACAGCATACGCGAACCGGAAGGACGTCATTGCACGCCTTGCCTCGGTCGTGCCGCAATACTCGTTCTTGATGGGCAACTGCTACTTTGATCTTGGCGACATTCTCGCCATCTGTCTCAAGCACCACGTGTGGAAGGACGATGCTGAGGTCGCCGCCAAGCGCGCGGAGGCCGACGCGGCCTTTGCCACGTGCGTCGACATCCGGACGATCTGCTTTGTGGCTGAGCACCCGCTCGTCGTCGAAGCTCGGAAGCGCCTGGCGTAGACCGCTGTCGCCACTAATCTTAACCAGCGTGTGCTTGTCATCTCTGTCTTTGGCCTCTGCCAGCTTCCTCTATGCTTGGCGGCTGCATCCCTGGCCTGTCGGATCGGCCAAGATCGGGGCCGCGGATTGGTCGGCCGTTATGAAACCCATGAATTTTGGCCAATGAAACGGCGGAATGCTTTGCATTGCAATCTTTCAGTTTTGGATTCGACATGACGACGAGCAAAGCCGCGTTGATCCTCAGCGCTGCGCTCGCCGGCGGCGCCCTCGCGACCGTCCTCATGAAGGCGCAGTTTAGCCTCATCGTCCCGGGCACCGACAGCTGCACTGACGCCAATGGCACGACGTCGACGACCTGCCGCTTTGCCAAGCCGTGGTTTGGCGTGCTCCAGATGAAAGCGGCCATGAGCATGAGCCTTGTCTTCCTTGTCGTGCGCAAACGCTACACGAAATCGCTCTTCCTCGAGACACCCGTCTTCAAGCGTCAGCAGTACGGTGTCAAGTACATGCCCCAGCCGCGCACGTACGAGGAGCGCCGCATGCTCCTGCAGCAGTCGGTCGATGGCCCGTCGTGGTTTTCCCTCTCGCTGCTCGTGCTTCCTGCGGCGCTGGACCTTATCCAGACGATGTTGTCGCTCATGGGGCTCTTGTGGATCCCAGCGTCCGTGTACCAGATGAGCTCGGGGTGCGTTGTCGTCTTCAGCGCGTGCTTTGCGGTCCGCGGTCTCGGCCTCAAACTGCACTGCTACCAGATCTGGAGCATTCTACTCATGCTCGTGTCCATGGTGATCGTCTCGATCGCGGGCGTCCTCGGCCACGGCGTCCTGAGTCCCCGCGACATTCTCAGCGTCCAGTTCCAAAACGTCGTCGACGCCGAGTGGACCCAGCTCGTCGGCATGGCGTGCATTCTGCTTTCGCAGCTCATCTTTTCGCTGCAGCTCGTCGTCGAGGAGCACTTTCTCAACGTGCACCACGTCAGCCCCATCTTGCTCGTGGGCATGGAAGGGCTCTGGGGTCTCGTGCTCTTGCTGCCGATGACGCCGCTCCTCAACATGACACCCGCCACCGACTCGGCTCTTGCGCAGCTGTGGCACGAAGACTTTTCAGACACGTGGGTCAAGCTACGCCGCTCGGGGCTTCTCTGCTTGCTCGTTGCCTTGTATATGCTCTGTGTCGCCTCGTACCAGGCACTATACACCTACTCTGACCCACGCCTCACCTCGTTGTAGATTGCAGCCCTCTACATCACCAAGCACCACTCGGCGCTCGTCCGCAGCATGGTCGAGGTAATGCTTGCTAGCTTGTCGCGCCATGGGATGATATATAAGCTGTACTAGCTCGGGCGAACGCTCGGTGTATGGGTCCTAGGCTTTATTGTCTACTACATCCTCGAGTGGACGGGCCCGTCGTCGCCGGGGGAGCCCTTTACAGAGTGGTCATGGTATTCCTACCCACTGCATTGTAGAGGCTCTTGATGATGGCTCATGGGCCATGGCTAGCGTCGAAGCCGTCGGGTTTGTGCTCATGGCGCTGGCGACGCTCACGGTACGCCAAGCACCGTATTTTGAGGATCTGACTTAGTGTTGATTCAGTACAAGCAAATTCTGCATTTCCCGTGCGTCCGTTTGTACCAAGACGACCGTGGGCTCCCGGTGCAAGTCGAAATTTCGTCCTTTATGCTCGACCGCCACTGACAAGCGACGTGCACTGGACGAGTTCATTGCGTGCGTTTAAGCCGAGTCTCTAATGCATCGAGGCCATGAACGGCGACTTGGTCAGCGCCAAGTTGGCTTCGCGCTCTTCCGCCGCATACAACCACGTGCCGGGGAAGCGCAGGATCTTCTTGTACTACAGTCGCAACAAGGCGAGATGAGTTGGGCCCCAGAGCAAAACGCGTACCGTGAGTGTGCCCACGACCATGACGGCAAAGCCCGCGAGCTCGAGCCAGCTCCAGACAGTCCACGGCTCGCCCGGCGAGTTGGGTCCGGTCCACTTGATCACGTAGTAGACAAAGAGCGTGAGGAGCCAGACGCCCATCGTGCGCATCGTCTATGACTCCACATAAGACATGCATCATCCCAACAAAGCGACGGACATCGAGGATACTGCGCACGACCGAGTTGAGGTACTTGGTGACAAAGCTCGCCGCGAGCTACGCAAGAAGCATCCGCGTAAGAATAAGCATCCGAATAAGACGACGAGGACGTACGTTGAAGACGCCGATAGTAATGACGTACGCGACAACCGTCCAGACGAGCGGCCACGAGTTGGAGATCTTGACAAGCGCGTCGGAGAAGTCTTCGTGCCAGACCTTGGAGAGACCCGAGGTGCCCCGGGGCGTCCACTGCAGCAGCGGGATCAAGACGACCATGAAGACGAGGCCCCAGAGCCCCTCAATGCCCACGAGGAGCATCGGACTCACTTGACGCTTGGTCAAAAAGTACTCTTCAATCACAATCTGGATCGCGCAGAGAAACTGGGCCACAAAGATGAAGCTGAGGCCGAGAACCTGGTTGGCTTGCTTCTCCGCGTCCGCGGCCGACGGCTCGGCGGCCGACTGCATCGCGGCTTGCGAGAGGCCTGCGAACGAGACCATGCCGACGGCGATGATGACGAGGAGGATGCTCGAGTAGTGGTAAGCGAAGAGGCGCTTGCCCATGAAGCGCACCGAGAAGAAGGCGTTGAAGAGGATGACGGACCCGCGCGTCATCTGGTAGATGGATGACGAGATCCAGAGGAGGCCAATGTTGGCAAACACCGTGTTGAGCAAGTCGAGCATCGACGGGATGATGAGCAGCATGATGGTCGACCACGACGGCCCCGACGCCGATGACGAGGTGTCGAGAAACGGCGTGCGCTCGTTCTTGGTGGACGCTGCCTTGCGCGACTGCTGCGGCGTGAGCATGTACTTGCGGCCGCCCTTTTGCATTTTGTTGACGGGCGTCTCGAGGTACGCGCGGTGTTCGACGCGCTTCCGGACGTAGAGAAACACGAGGCAGCACGCCATCGCAAGCTTCATCTCGAGGACGCCGAACCACGGCTTGTCAAAGTAGCAATGCAGCGTCGTGTTGCCGTTGATGACGCACGGCTCCGTGCCGAGCGACTGGAGGCTGTACTGCACCTTGGTGATGATCGTACACAGCGTGCCAGACACGAGCATGACGAGGCCCCAGAGGAAGCCCTTGCGCGTCTTGCGCTCTTCGCTCGTCGATGTCGACATGTCCTTTCTTCCTTGGTTGCAAACGGCAAAGTGAGACCTGCTCGGTCGAGTTTTTAAAAATTGCACCGTGCCGAGTATACCTCGTTTTTGTATGACAAAGGAATTAACGTCGGTTTCCATTCGCGGTTTCCGGTGGCTTGTCGACCACCTAGAGTGGTCGCGCAGTGTGTTCTGGTTGCAGTAGCTTCGGCGCTGCCGATGTGGCGCTGTCCATGGAGTGGCGCTGTGCCTCCACCGCTCGTCAGACAGAGCGGGCGTGGAGCAGGATTCCTTTGCGCGTGGAGGATAGGAACACACAGTGGGATGACCGTCCCCACCACCCCTTTGTGTTGCAGTTGAAGGTCGCCACTCGGCACGCCAGTATTAGAAAGACGACACGAGTTCGCCGCACGCAACGCTTTTCCTCTGGTGGCCGTCGATAGACATATGAGGAGGTAGTATTATCGGAGGGCAGAGCAATTTCATGTTCGAGCTAAAGTCTGGTGAGCCGGGCACTCTTTCCAAAGGCAAATCGAAGTTTTAATCGAAGCTATGAAATTGCTACGAATTTCGAGCATAGAGGAATTAGTGTTGCGATCTTTGAGCATGCTACGAGCGAGGCTCGTGGGCTGGCTGCTGCTGGCGCTCGTGACCTTTGCGGTGCATGGCGATGTCCACGTGGCCACGGCGACGCCGCGAGAGTACAAGCACACGACGGACCCGGCGATTCTCAGCGCTGCGCAGGTACGCGTCTTGAGAAACACATGCGATGCGATGGGCGCTAGTTTGCACTCGACGAGCTGCGGCGGCTCTCGGACACGGGCATCTACATGACGCTGTCGCTGCATGCGGTCACGTCGGGCGCGACCCAAGTAGGCGAATCCGCCGAAATGGTCGACTGACGGCGAAGCGTAGACGGGTGACTTTCACGACAACACGTATCTCATGCTCGAGCTCGCGTCGCCACACTTCAAGAGCGGGGCGCCCGTCGAGAGCTTCGAGGTCGTCGTCATGGAGAGCCGCGACGGAGACCGGCGCAAGAGCTTTGCCATCGACAACTTTCCGGAAATGGCCGAGGAGGCGATCGAGGCGTATTGGATCGAAATGGTCGAGGCGACGCGGGCGAAGCGCCGGAACGTCTTTGCGAAATGGGCCCACGAGCAGCAAGAGCCCTCGGTGACCAAGGACGAGCTCTGAGATAGACAGGCATGACACGTGTGTGTGTTTATAAACTTTACTTGGCCTCGTCGACCACGGCCGTGGGTGCAAGTTTCCGCTTCTTCGCCACCGGCAGAACGTTGACCGGCGCCGATTCTGCATCGCGCTTGACCGCGACGGGGGCCGGCGCAGCGCCAAACCCGACCGTTGTCATGGACGCAGCCGCGGCCTCGGCGCGGCTTGCCTCGACGTTCTCGCGGAGCCCGTCGACCTACATACAAGCGTTCAAGGCTGCACGATCGCTTTGTGATTAATACCTTCTCCTTGATCTCCGTGTAGATCTCGAGGTACTCGAGAAGCTTGGCCTCGTCGTCGTCAAGGAGCGTGCTGGCATCATCTGCCGTGCTCGGGTCGACACCCCGGGCATTGAGCGCCGCCGCGACAAACGTCTTGCGCATGTCTTCCATGGGGCCCACGTACGGAAGCGTGAGGTCGGCGACGGAAGCATCCATGACCGGGGGCTTGGCCTTGCCCTTCCCCTTGGACGACTCGGGCTTTGTCTCCATCGGAATATGTGTCTCGAGGAACGTCATGCAGGCCGGTGAGCACGACGTTGCTTGACGGTACAGGTTGTCACGCATGACGTTGCCGGCGAGGACGTAGTAGCGCACGCCTTGCACCTCCATTTCCGCGTGACTCACAATCGGCGCGTCCGTCTTGGTCTCTTCTTCGTCGGCGCCCGCTTCGGGCTGCTTGGCATGCTCGTAAATGCACGTGATTGCCATGCAGCAGTACGTGTCGGCGAGCGGTGTCGTGTCCATCGCCGTCGATGTCAAGAACTTCTTTTGCAGCGCCAAGCTCTTTTCATAGTCGACGCGCGCTTCCTGGAAGAGATCCGACTCCATGGCGAGGTCGCCCAAGCGGCTGTGGACGCGCGAGAGCTCCTTGTGGATGCGGTCGTCTTCGCCTTCGTGCTTGGAGAGTATGATGCGCGCAATCTCGAGCATCTCCCACGCGACCTCCAAGTCGCTCTGGTCTTCCGCTTCACCTTCCTCACCCTTAGTCGCGTCCTGGCCAAAGACGCTGGCGGTCGCTTCCGCGAGCGATAAGAGCGCGTTGCCGTACTCGTAGTACACGGGCGCAGCGCTCAGCGACTCGGCGTTGCCTTCGGCCTCGACCCTACACATACCAGCGTCAACCTCACGGCCGCAATCGCATGAACTCATTACATGGTGCGCAGATAGTCTTCGAAGTGGACGACCGCTTCCTCGTACCGCTTCTCCTTGAGGAGCCCGATTCCGCGGACGAAGCGCGCGTCCTGGAGCGTTGCCTCGAGGCCGTCCATATTCCCGTGAAATGGAGCTCGATTTGTGTGGAGCCGAATAAAATGCAGCGCTTTTTATTTATAAATGAGTATTCAGACACAGTCTTTGTATGTAAAATGATTTCATTACAATAGTAATTAAATCAAAACAGATGGCTTCGATCGACCACAGACGCGAAACCGCGCCAAATTCAAGTAAATGGATCGTTTTCTTAGATAGTTGGATAGTTTTTGGATAGGTTTCGGATAGTAGTAGATTAATGGAATTGAGAGGTGACGAGGTGGCGCAGATGGGCGGTCGTCGGCAGCGGTGCTGTCGTTGCAGGCGGTGCGGTTGTCCCGGAGCTGGGGGTTGTCGTCGTGCTGCTCGTCTTGAAGACGCCGAGCGCGGCCAAGAGAATGAGCAGGACCACGATCACAACGAGGCCGAGGGCGATTGTGAGCTTGACGTTCTTCCACCACATGGCCCGCGAGAGGCTCTTGCCCGTGTTGCGAAAGACCTTGGCCTGTTCGCTGAGGTCGTTGGACTTTTGCTCGACCATTTCCATCTTCTCCGTGTTGGAGAGAACGACTTGGATGTTCTCCTGCATCGTGCTCTTGACAGCGTCGACTTGCGCCATGACCTCGGCGAGCTTGTCGACCTTGGTGCGGTCATCGTACGTCGTCGCGATGACGCTGAGGCCCTTGGCGCACTCCTTGTCGAGGCCGCCTTCTTTGACCGTCGGTAGCTTGGCCGCGTGCTTTCCAGTCATCTCTTCCTGCACGGCCGCCAGAAGCTTGAACGCGAGCCGGACCGGGTAGTCGGCGGCCGTGATCGCCACATAGACGATCTCGTCGTTGTCCATGGTGAAGTGAAATTTGTTGGGTTCGCAGTCGAGCGTGTGGCGGCTGTTGGGTGCAACCTGCTGCTTCCACGTCGGCGCACGCAGCACCTTGGTGAGCATGTCCAAGTACTTGGGCGACTCTTCCTTGTCCTTCTTCGTATGGGCGTACGACGCGATGATGGCCTTGTCGCTCCCGCGGGCGACTGCGAGAAACTTGACGTTGTCGCTGGTCAGCGCCATGGTACTCCTGCTGCTGCTGCTTGCGTGTTTTCTCAAAGACTGACTAGCCGAAGCGAAACCTAAAATTGACTTTGCCGTTGACGGTTGGGCGGATTGCGATCTTGGCGTTGCGTGTTGCGATTGGTGCATATTCCAATCGACACGAATATGGGCGCGCATCCCTCGCAATATCAATATATATATGAACAGGCCTCAGACCAAGCGAAGACGACGACGCTGACGACTGTGGCTGTTGTTGCTACTGCTTTCGGACGAGAAGACGCCGAGGATGTACAAGACGAGGATCACGACGAGCACGATCGAGACGCCGATCGCGGCAAAGAGACGCAGCTTGCGCAAGCGCATTTGGCGGTGGAGGTCGGTCGCGCCCTTGTGGAAGATCTTGGCGTTGTCTGAGAGCTCGGACGACTTTTGCTCGAGCGTCTCGAGCTTCTCGCCGTTGGCGAGCGCGAGGCCAATCGATTCCCTCATCGTATCTTTCACGCCTTCGACCTGCAGCTTGACGAGCGATAGCTTGTCGATCTTCGTGCGGTCGTCGTACGTCGCCGCGATCGTCGCCAGCACCTGTGAAGCATAAGACGCGATGCATAGACAGATAGCGTACCTTGGCGCAGTCGCTGCCGACGGTCTGGTCCTTCTTGAGCGTCAAGGCCTCGGCGGCGAACGACGCAACAAATTGCGTCTCCATGTCGTTGATCATTTGGTGCGCGACGCGGATCGGGTAGTCGCCCGCAGTGACGGCAAAGTACACAAAGTTGCCGCTGTCGAGCATAAAGTGGAGCTTGAGGCCATCAAACGCGAGCGCATGGCGGCTGTTGGGCGCCACCTCTTTCGCCCACGTCGGCGACGAGAGGACCTTGGCCGCGACCTCGGTGAAGCGCGCGCCGTCCTTCTTGCCGCCCTTGGTGTGCACATGGTTGCTAATGATGCTCTTGTGCGCGACCCGCGCGACGGCGAGGAACTTGACGTCGTCCTTCGAGGCCATCGCACGCGTCGTGTATTCGTTTCAAGACTGCGGGCGTTTGTGGGACGGCGATTTTGTATTTTTTCGCCGCGTTCGCTGATTGGTGGATCCATTTTTTTCGCACGGCCCTGGCCAATCCAAAGCCACCATAAAATCCAAGCGACAAGATCAGTGCTTCTGCGTGCAGGCGGAGACCACGACGTATCGACAAGTCGTCGGCTTGCGACCAACGAGCGTGGTGTGAAGTTAACAAACAGGCGAGGACGACGAACGTTAGGACTTGTTGAGTACGAGTACGTCCCGCCAGTTGACGTGGTCTTCAATGCACTTGGCGCGAATGAACTTGGCACACTCGAGCTCGGAGCGCATTGCACAAAACACTTCGCCGTTGACGTACTTGCAGCGATACCGCTCTTCGCCATGTACCGTCGTGATGCGGCGGATGCGCACATACTGTAAGATCTCGTCGACTTGCATCGTTGGGTCTTCGAGCTCGTGTATTGTCTGCTTGACCTCGCGCAGCTAGAGACGCATCGTTGGCTCGCAAACTGGCACCTAGCGCGCTGCATACCTGTGTCTTGAGGTTGGGAATGTCTTTGAAATCTCGCAGCCGTCGCAAGGTTTTCTTCTTCTGGCGCTTGTCGGACGGCATGTAGTCGGAGATCATCTTTACGAGCACCATCGCGAGCTCTTGCTCGTAGACGCTGCCTTGCTTGCGCTCGTCGCTCCCGTCGACAATCCACTCCATAAACATGTTGATGTACGGGTCGTGGGCATCGCAAATCGCCGTGAAGCGCTCCTCATACTTGGGCGCGGCCTCGGCCTTGACGCGCCAGTACTCGAGCGAGCTGTAAATGACCATCGCGGCTTGCGTGCGCTCTGTGGTCTACCTTGTGTCGTGAGGCATGCAGTGCGCAAACGGAGCGTGTACACTGAGGTCGGGCGACTTGCTCTTGAGCGCTGCAAGGGCAGCTTGCATCTTCTTGGGTGACGCCACGACGCCCTTCTCATTGCACGCCGTCGCAAAGAGGTCCTGGACAAACGCCGACGGCAGGGTGCTGGGCGTGTTGCTGTAAAACGCCTTTTTCCGCACGATGCGGAGGTCGTCGTCGAGCGCAACGGCATCCTAGAGCGAGCGTGACGCTGCGACTGCAACATGCTGCGAACGGACCTGGTCCGTCAGCGGGTGGGCGCCCGTGAGCGCAATCGTACCGCTCACGCACTCGTGGTAGATCTGCACGTGCTCCTCCAGCGCGGCCATCTGGGCACGCGCCAGTTGCGCCAGGAGCGCCGCCTTGTCTGCCACCATGACAACCACCTCGAGTGCTCAGCGACTGTCTGCGCTGCAATCCGGTTACCCGATAATTCCGGATACGGCGAGCCAAAAGCGCGCCAGAAGCGCCGCCATCGACCGTCCCATCCCGCGTCGGACGACGAACGTTGCTTCATTGCAAGCGCTTCTTGGTGGCCGCTCGCTACTGTCGTCGTCACAATGGAGCCGCTCGTCCGGAGCAACCACTGCGAGAGCATCCGTCTCGTCGCATCGGACCCCCACCAAGGGTCGACACTGTCGGGTCCAAAACCCGAGCAGCAAGTCCCCGCACCAGACGACGAACGCCCGCTAATACGATGCGATTTGGCCCCTCTCGGTTCACTAAGCCACACCTGGAAGGGTATCGGAATATAGGAATATGCTAATATAGCGTTAACGTTTAACTATCGTGCTACGAGTCGACTCGTACCCTCTACAAGAGGAGGTCGTACATGTTTTCTTTGCCGCAGAGACAGCGGACATGGTGGTGCGTCGTTTGCTCAGTGGGCGGCAAGAGGTCGTCTAGGAGGACGTCCGAGAGGAGGTTGGCGCCCGCACGGCCGCCCATGAGGTTACCGGCCGTAGGTCCCAGCCGCAAGGACGCGTACCCGCCCATGAGAAACACATTCACGTCCGTCGCAATGCGGAGGTCTTGGTCGACGTTGGGAAAGCCACCGGTTGTCGTCACGCCCAGCGGGAGGAGCTCGCGGAAGAGCGGGTCGCGGGTCACATCCACGTCCGAGCCCGTGGCCAAAATGATCTCGTCCACGACGAGCGGCGACGCAGCGACATCTTCAGACGAGAGCGTGATCTGAAGCCGACCGTCGACCTCCTCGACAGCCACCACGGTCGTGCTGCCCATGTGCGTAAACGTTTCGGGCGTCGCGACGGCGGTGAGCTGGTCCATAGCGGCTTGCGTGACCGAGCCGCGACCGCGGGCTTGCTTGAGGCGTGCAAGGCGAGCGTCGGCATTCGCTTCGGCGAAGAAGGCCGCGCGCATCTTGTCGCCCAGCGTGGGCGAGAGCCACTCGAGGGGCACGTCGTACGGCTGCACGCGCAAATGCGGCGACCGCGTGAGCAATGTCACGTGTGTCGCGCCCCAGCGCAGCGCCTGCTTGGCCAAGTGCACGGATGTCAAGCCGCCACCGACGAGGAGCACATGCGGCCGCGTCGCCGCATACCGCGCCTGCACGATGGACGGGCCTTGGGCGACCAGGTCGGCGCTGTGGAACGTCCGGCGGGAAGCGAGCGACCACGTGGGCCGCCGCGGCAGACGCTGCGTGCCGACGGCGACGACGACCTTGGCCGCGCAAACAATCTCGCCGGACGCGCAGTGGACTTGAAAGGACGAAGGCGTCTTGTCGCCGTCGCTGGTAAAGACGGGCACGATGGACGTGGCGGTCTGCGGCTCGACGAGCGTCTCGATCTTGTACTGCGTGATGAGCATCTTGTTGTGGGCGGCGAAGAGGTCTTGGCGCGGGCACCCAAAGAAGCTTCGATCGTTCTCGCTGAACATGGACGTCTGCGATGCAAACGCCTTGTTGCGCTTGTTGAAGCGGATCGTGCTGGGCGGCGGCGCCACGACCGAGTGCGTCGACGTTGCAAAGTCCCGGAGCCCCTCGGGCCGGAGCGGGTCCAAGTGCACACTCAGTGGCGACCGGAGGTGCGAGATGCCAAAGAGCTCAAAGTTGGCGTTCCAGTTGGCGCACCACGCGCCCGACGGATCGAGGACGCGGAGGTGGTGGCGAAGGCTCGGGCGCTGCGGCGCGAGACGCTTCTTGCGCCAAAACGAGAGCATTGCGGCCTCGGTCTCTGTGAACTCGCTCGCGCTGTCTTGTTCGAGCAAGGTGAGGACGAGCGCCAACGCGTGGGGGCCCGCACCGATAACGACCAGCGGCGTCATGTTGCAAGCGTCCGCCATAGCAAGTCGAGTTGTGAACGCTGGAGATGGAAGAACCCTCGATCGAATCCGACGGCGGGATCTCTCCGGCGACGGCCGGCGGCTCAAATTTCCGACGGCGGCTGCCACGTGGGGTCGGTACTCCTGCGAAAGCCCGGGTGCTGGACGCTCGGGAAGCGAGGTGAGACGTTGAATGCTTCGCCAGACGATGGAGCGCTGCTATGTCTTTGATTCATGGGGTCGCATTCACACAAACGTTGCTATTAACAAAGACAGTGGAGTCTCGCGCTTAGGACCCGACGGCTGTGTCCAGCGACGCCGCTTCCTTGAGACGCTTGCGTTCGTCTTGGAGCATGCGACAGAGTCCTTCGAGCTTCTGGATCTTGTCGGCTTGGCGCTTGGCGTCCTCGGCCGACCGGACGCGCTCCTGGAGAGCCGCGATCGCCCCTGCGTCGTACTCGTCGCACTTCTTCTTGAGCGTCCCGTTCTCCTTCTCGAGGCGCTTGATGTGCTTGGACATCTTGTCCATTTCGGAGCGCAGCGTCACAAACATCGTGTTGCTCTTCGAGAGCGTGTCTTGGACCGTGTCAAACTTCTCCGAGTACGCGCCCAGTTGTTCCTACAGCGCTGTAGAATGCTTCTTCCATCTCTACTATGGTACCTGGAGCGCGGCTTCGCGGGCGGCGATCTGCTGCGCCTTCTCGAGCGTCAACTGCACCTGCATTGCGTGTCATGCATCGTAGTCATAAGGACGATCGGACCTTTTCGGCTTCGCGGTTCGTGAGCTCGACTTGATGCTTGAGCTTGGCTTCGGCGAGCTGCACTGTGAGGTCTTTGGCCTGGAGCTGGTGCGCGAAATGCTCTTCGCGCACTTCATACTGCGCGAGGAACGTCTTGAGCTTCGTCTGCAGCGCCTCGTTCTCGTGGAGGGATGCGACGTAGTCCTTGCCTTGCTGCTCCATCTTGACGCTCACTTCTTCAATCGTCTTTTGAAACTGCGTCGAGAGCTGCTTGCGCTTCGCGTCTTCGTCCTCGGCCATCTTGCGCGACTCGGAAATGATCGTCTTGTTCTGCTTCTGGAGCTCGCGGCAGAGCTGCTCGAGCTTGCCTTTGGTCGACGAGACCTTTTGGAGCGCGTCTTGAGACGATGTGAGCTGCTCGCGCGAGACGATAAACTTGGCGTGGACCTCGCCGACTTTCTTGTGGACCGCCGCGAGGTGGCTGAGCAGCTGGCCGACGGTCGTCTCCATGCGGAGGATCTCGCCGCTCTCCAAGCTGTCTTGCCACGCCTGGACGCTCCTCTCGACGAGCGTGCTGTCGGCGAAGATGCCACTCATGTCGACGTCGAGGCCGTCGTCGCCGACCTGGAGGCGTGCAATTTTGCTCGCGAGGAGGTCCTTCATCGCGGCCTCGTCCTTGGCCTTGCCCTTCGTCATCGGGTTCACGGGTGGCGTCGGCGGTCCGCTCTCGGACGTTTGCTTGTGCTTGAGCGACCTCTTCCGGCCCCCTTCGCTTCCTGTGGTCTCCATGCTGCCAATCGGCGAATATCTTTCCATCGTTTTTTTGGCCCCCGTGTCAGAAACACGACCCTCACGATAAGGCGCAAAGTGGGGGGCCCTACCAAAAGCGCGCCGCGATGCCATTGGTCGCGACCAATTGGTTGGTGTGATCTATTTGGGCTCCGAGTGCATGCTCGCCCGAACGGTTCTCAAGCCTGCTCGTCTCCTGCCCAGTCTTGTCCGCGCGCTGAGTACCTCGGTCGATAGCATGAGCAACAACAACTTCAACAACAACTCTCGAGGAGGCCGTGGCGGCGGTCGCGGTGGTCGTGGTCGTGGCCGCGGCGGTGGCTTCCGTGGCGGCCGCGGTGGAGGCCGCGGTGGCGGTCGCGGCGACGTTCCGTGGTTTCGCCAAGAAGGCTACAACGACGCGGTCGCGAGCAGCGTCGACGAGACCGAGGTCGGCATCAAGGTGTTTGTCAACGACCTCAAGGGCTTCAATGGCATCGTCAAGCAGCGCTTCTCGGACTTTATCGTGCGCGAAGTGGCCATGAATGGCAACGACATTGCGCGCCTGACCGAGCTCGAGCTGCCGCCGCAAGGCAAGAAGAACCGCACCGTGCACACGCTCTTGTTTGACGCGATGGAGCGCTACCTCGGCTTGTCGTTTGCCAAGTCGACGGCCTCCAAGCAGCACCGGTACCACGAGACGACAAGTGACCTTCCGAGCGCGTCGTCGGGCCTCGAGAGCATCTTTGACGTGCTCTCCAAGCGCCTCGTCGAGCTCTTCGTCGCAAACCGCGAAAACGGCGCGTCGTATGCGGCCAAGCGCCAAGCCAAGCTCTTTGTCGCCGAGGTCGCGACCGCGCTCGACGCGACCGAAGCCACGACGCTCGACGCGTTCTTGCACCAAGTGATTGCGACGACCGATGCGACGGCCAAGGCGGCGCTCGTGTACCACTTCCAGCCGCTCGAGAAGAAGGACGACCGGACCGCGCTCCACGGGCTCATTCGCGAGTACGGCAAGGAGCTCGTGGTCGCCGACACGACGTCCGAGGCGGGCAATGACGCGGCGACCGTCATCCGCCTCCGGCCGTTCAACAAGAACGGTGCGAAGCGCAAGGACATGGACCACCGCAACAACCGAGCGGACGCCAACTGGCCGCACAACCGCCGTAAATTCCTTGTTTCGCTGGATATATTTGTCTGATGGAAGATATTGTCTAGCCGACTACGTCAAGTTTATCATGTACAAGAAGAACAAGGAGACGGTCGAGGCGATGCAGCACATGGCCAAGATTTTGCACTTGAACGACGGCGTGTTTACGTACGCAGGCACCAAGGACAAGCGCGGCCTCACGACGCAGTGGGTCACGGCGTACAGAGTGCCGCGCGAGACCATTGCGCGCATCAACAACGTACGTCGTATCGTGCACGAGATGGCTCAGTTTATATGTCGATGTAGCACAAGAGCTACGGCAAAAACTACGACATGTACGCGTTCCTTGTCGGCAACTTTAGCTACGTGAACGACCCGCTCACGCTCGGCGACCTCTACGGCAACCAGTTTGGTCTCGTGCTGCGCAACATCCCTGATGACGTCTCGGACGACGACATTGCGGCCGCCGTCCACGCGTGGACCACCATGGGTTTCGTCAACTACTTTGGCTTGCAGCGCTTTGGCACCAAGTCGATTCCGTCCCATACGGTAGCGTTTTCTCCATATTCGAGTCAAGAGCGGATGGAAATATGGGTTTGAGTAGGTCGGGCGCGCGATGCTGCGGAAAGACTTCAAGGGCGTCGTGGACCTCATCCTCGGGCCCAAGGACGGCGATGCGAGCAAGATCCGCGAGGCGCGTGTGCACTTCCAGCAGTACAAGGACGTGGACGCTGCCTTGCGCATGTTCCCTCCCTTCCTCGTCGCGGAGAACGCAGTGCTCCAAGGGTTCTCACGCCACGGTCTCGACGCGTACGAGCGTGCGATCCGCAACATCCCGACCAAGCTTCGCATGGTATGGCTGTGGTGGGTTGGCGTCTTGTATCTCAGATGTTGCTAGATTTATACGCACGCGTACCAGAGCTACATCTGGAACGAAGCCGCGAGCTACCGTTTGAGCCACTACTCGAACACGGCGCCTGTCATTGGTGACATGGTGCTGCGAGGTGACGTCGAGTTGGACCCGGAAGCCGAAGTCGAAGCAAAAGAGGAGACGCAGCCGACCAAGAAGCGGCGGCGCTTTGTCGAGAGCGACATTATCTTTGTGACCGAAGACAACATTGGCGAGTACGCGATCGAAGACGTGGTGCTGCCCGTGCACGGCTACTCGACGCTCCTGCCCAAAAACACCGTCGCCGAGGTATGTTTTCTGCGAATTGTTGCCAAATTTCCGACTTTACCGCATTCGCGTAGGTCTACACCCGCTGCGCGACGCAAGATGGCGTGAATTTCGAGTCGCTTCGGAAAGACCAGTCGCCCGAGTACAACCTCCCGGGCTCGTACCGCCACATTTTGCGCAAGCCGCAACAAGTGCGCCACGAGATCAAGCGCTACGACGACGAGACGATCCCGCTCCTGCCGTCCGAAGTCGACGTGCTCTTGAGTCGCCCGACGGTGCCGTCGCTCCCGAACGGCAAGTTCAAGGCCATCTGCCTCGAGTTCATCCTCCGTACGTCTGTGGTTTGTGAGGCCATCTTGTTGATCCCATATATGTGTAGAGTCGTCGAGCTATGCGACGATTGCGATCCGAGAACTCCTCAAGCAGAGCTCGAGCATCCACGTGCAACTGCAGCTCAACGAGCAAAAGGCCGGCAAGGCGATCGACACGTCCAACGTTAACAAGGTCAAGTCCATCCCGATCGGTCGACCAGGCTTCTCGCTCGGCAAGCAATAAGGACGTCCGCTTGTCTATCGCTATGCGACATGAAAGCTCCCGATCAATGAACATACCACCCTGCACTGTATTTTCTCGAGTTGCAACGGTTGGCTCACGAAGATCCCTCGGCGTCGAGCAACGTCCTCTCGGCGAGACGCTGACGGCTGCGGTCGAGGTAGACTTCCAGTGCAATGAAACTCGCAATCAAACACGTTGCGACCCACTGCCACTGCGCCACCTACTCGTTTGGTCCCAACTTTGTTCCGCAAGAAGAGAGGCTGTACCGGCACGCAGGTCTTTGTGGCGTCGTCAAACTCGTGGTAGTAGACAAGGTCGCAGTTGGGGTCTAGGCATTCGGTTTAAAGCTGCCAACGCATTTTGGTCGCAGTACCGTTGCATTTGTTGGTCGACTGATCGTACGTCTGTTGGCCACTGCAGGCGAGAGGCACGGTACAGACTGGCTGCGTCGTCGGCGTCACCACTGGCGTTTGCACAAAGCCTACTTGCTTTTGTGTGTCGCTCAAGAGCGTCGGCAGATGCTGGAGCACCATGGCGCCAAAGATCATCGGTGATTGGTACATGTCGGGCACGAACGCAATGCCGCCAATCTCTTTGGTCTACATCAACATGAGAATTTACTAGACCTGTCGCGCCTGTACAAAAATGTCGTCTTCTTCGAGGACAATCTGGTGCTCGAGAATGCGGTTGACAATGCTCGTCGACCGCTGCAGGCACAATCTACGTACCGAGAATGAGGGACCAACCACGTAGACTAGCGCGTACTGGGGCGTTTGGCCTGTCGAGACGTTGAGCGCCAAAGCGGCGAGCGGCAGCGTGAGCGTCGGCAGACCGTACCCGACCTGAAACGAGAGCGACGGCAGCTCGTGCAGGGACACGTTCGGCCGCAGCTGCGTGATATTGGCCGACGCGTTGTACTCGAGCGGTGCCCACGTCACGAGCTACAAATATGATTGCACATTGATACGACGATGAAGTGCTAGGATATCTTACCGAGGTGTAAAACTCTTTGGGCAAGACGAGGCAGGGCACCTCAAAGTCGACGTGGGCCGCCCAGTACGACGACGACGGCTGCATCAATGGCACGCCGCAGACCGTCGCGTTGTGCACTGCACGAAGATCACCGAGTTGAGGCTCACGCTTCCATGTCGAGAGTTCTCCTACCTGTAAAGGACGTTCGGCGCTTGTAGTAAAAGTCGTGGACGACGTTCATCGACTCGGACCACGTCCATTTGTCGTCCTCTGGTCGCGTGAGCTCCACGTATAGAGGACGCTTCGGTCGCACCTGGCGACGCCGCAGGACGAAGCGTTGCATTCGCAGCGCCTGTCGATGGATCCATGCCGTTGTACTGCAGAACGAGGTCGCCCGGGAACGGCCAGCCGGGCTGCGGCGACGACACGAGCCCGATGCCAAGCAGCCCCGACACGTTCCATCGCCTGTCCATTACGTGGTTCGCGACGTTTGATGATAACACTCACTTTTCAAAGAGCTGGGCGTCGGCGACCTTGGCGATAACATCGCCCGCGGTCACGTTGTCAAAGCCCAGGCTCACGCTCGTGTACGCCGACTCGTCGACGTCGGCGTAGAGGATCACACCTCGGAAGCGCGTCGAGAGCTCGAGCCGGACCGGGTTTCCATTAACAGTCGCATTGACCCACGGGCTGTGGTAGCCGACGCCAAGCGCTACGTGGCAGCACGTCGCGACGGCGAGGCCGGCAAGCCAGGTTGCGCCTCGCATCGATTACTCTATTTCTGGTCGTTTTGTCCAATAATACACACTATTTTGGCATTAAACCTCTCTGATATGATATATAACCTGCAGCAACCCATATTAAAGTCGATACAAACACCAAGTGTGCCCGGTGTCCGGATGGACACCCAATGATTACCAACCGAATGGGCGTATCCGGACAGCTCGCGCTTGGCGCTTCGAGCTTGTTGTTCATCTCCTATCCAGTCGAACGCAGCTAGAGGAAGATGCCACGCAAGGCCGGCCGTCGCGTACGTCGTCGCTGCTGCCACCGGAGGGCTATGGCTCATGCATGCTCTCTCTGTGTAGAAGAAGACCCGTACGCATGCCAATGCGGGCACGGAAGACTACGAGAACACGCCCAAGAGCTTCGTCTTCAAGATGGGCAAAGCACCGGGCTGTGTCATCAACCTCGTCCAGGACATGCGCCAGGTCATGCTGCCGTACACAGCCGACAAGCTCCGTGAGAAGCGGTAGCTACATCTTTCGCCCATGCGTCATCGGCTCACCATCCTCTCGTCGTAGCAAAAACACGATCCAAGATTTCGTGCACGTGGCGGCGCCGCTCGGCGTCTCGCACTTCCTCGCTTTTAGCCACACAGACGCCGGCACGAACATGAAGCTCGTGCGCCTCCCGCGCGGCCCGACGCTCTCGTTCAAGGTCGTCGGCTACTCGCTCATGAAGCACATCCACTCGATCCAGAAGCGCCCGGTCGATGCGTCGCTTGCCTTCAAGACGTCGCCGCTCGTCGTCCTCAACAACTTTACCGGCGCCGAAGACCACGTCAAGGTAGATCGCATCGTCTTGTCAAGCTCGTCGCTCATGCGCATGCGGTGTAGCTTCTCAATGCGACGTTTCAAAACATGTTCCCGGCCATTGACGTCCAGACAATTGCGCTCGCCGACTGTCGCCGCGTCGTGCTCTTCCACTACGACAAGGAGACGGGCCATGTTGAGTTCCGTCAGTATGTCATCCGCGCCGCGCCGCTCGGTCTCTCGAAGAGCGTCAAGACGCTCGTCAAGTCCAAGGTCCCGAACCTCGGCAACGTCGAAGATATCTCGGACTTTGTCTTCGGGAATGCGCAGACAGGCATGACGTCCGATAGCGAGGTCGACGACGAGTCGGCGCACATTGTGCTGCCCGACAAGTTCCGCGGCCGGGGCAACACGAAGAGCGAGAAGAGCGCGGTGCGCCTCGCCGAGGTTGGCCCGCGCCTCACGCTCAAGCTCGTCAAGGTCGAGAAGGGCGTGTGCGACGGCGATATCTTGTACCACGCCTTCGGTACGTTCTTGCGACTTCACACCTGGTGCCTCATTGCTTTGTAGTGCAAAAGACGCCGGAGGAAGCCGCCAAGATCAAGGCGCGCAAGGACATGGAGAACGCGCTCAAGCGCAAGCGCCGCGAAGAGCAGGCCGCCAACGTCCAGGCCAAGACGGACGCAAAGGAGGCGAAGAAGAAGGCCAAGGCCGACAAGAAGGGCGTCGACGTGCACACCAAGCGCCGCCTTCTGCAGCAGTACGCCAACACGGAAGAAGTCTCGGACCTCGAAGACGCCGAGTACTACCGCCAGGCCGTCGGCGAAGAGCCGGACGCGTACATGTTTTCGGACCGCAAGGTTGCCGAGAAGAAGGCGCCCATGGCCGGCAAGCGCAAGTTCAACGACCGCAAGCCGCCGGTTGACAAGTCGAGTGGCAAACCGAGTGGCAAGCCGACGGGCAAGCCGACGGGGAAGCCGACGGGGAAGAAGCCGATGGGCAAGGCCTTTGGCGGCAAGAAGAAGGACTTTCCCGCCAAGAAGGGCGCCCGCGCGACCTTCAACAAATTCAAGGGCCGGAAAAAGTAGAGCGCTCGCGACACCAGACCTGTTTTTTTAACTCATAACTCTCAAATCATCATTGCTACTACATACTCGATGGTTGGAGCCAAAACCACCACCGGATTGGAGGACCACGTCATAGCATTTGGGCCACGACCTGCTGGTCGGTAGACTCATATTGCGACGACGCGCGGACTAGATACTCAATGAACGACCTCGTTAGCGAGCCCCTGGAGCATAACAGCAATGAGCGGCAGCGGGTTTTGAAATGCGACTGCGCCCTGCGACCAAGTCCTCTCTTGCGCTGCTCCTACCAGCACGCACAACCGCCTCTGGTTTAGGGGTTAGCGGATACTAGTACACGGTGGTCGCTGATCGAAGTCCCAACCCGTGATTACCTCGCTGCACCTGTACGTACACGGACAGCTCGCGCAGCTCCTTTGATACGCCCTCAAAAGTAGTGTGTTATACTCGTCCCTCTTCCGACTGGAATTGACGACAGTAGAATACTTTGCTCAAGGCTCGTGCTCCATGCAATGGACAAGACACATGTGCGCCTCATGCAGAAACACATGTTGTTACAAATGATCCGACGGTCGTCATTACGGCTTGTCGAGATGCTTGATGATCCGCGCCGGCGTGCCGCCAACGACGACATACGGCGGCACGTCCTTAGTGACGACGGCCCCCGCGCCAATGACGGCGCCGTCCCCGATGGTGACACCCGGAAGAATGACAGCGTTGCCGCCGATCCAGACGTCGTTGCCAATCGTGATGGGAAAGGCCAATTCGGGGCCCCAGTCGTGGCGCAACTTGGCGTCGGTCGGGTGCGTAGCCGTGTAGATCGAGACGTTGGGCGCAACGAGCACGTTGTCACCGAACGTGACCTTGTTGCAGTCGAGGATCGTGCAGTTGTAGTTGATAAAGCAGTTGGACCCGAGATAAATGTTGTTCCCGTAGTCGCACCGGAACGGCGACTCGATCGCGACGTCCTGGCCCATGGACCCAAGAAGCTCACGCAAGAGCGCGAGGCGGGCGGGGTCCGTCGCGTCCACGTCGTCGAGCTTGTTGAGCTGCGACCACAGCTTGCGCGCCGCAACGCGCTTGGCCATGAGGACGGGGCATCCGCCGTAGTAGAGCTGACCCTGGAGCATCCGGTCTTCCTCGGTCTCGCTGTCGCCAGCGACGCGCATCGTGTGGCGCAGCGGGTGGTTCTTGTAGTCGTCCATGCTGAGTGCAAATTCGTAAGTGTTCGACGGTCGTCATCGGTGCAGCAAAGGCAACACGTTAGCCAATCAGAAGCGAACACGACTTGAAGTTGGCCTTGGGACTTTGACTGTCTCTCGCGTCCAAGCAAGCGCAGCCACATATCGTCTCGTATTACTACGAGCTTATGCGTAGTAGTCTTGCTACAAATCAAGCGCGAGGATGAGTAGTTAAGCTTGGCTGCGCCACCCATACCAAGCGGCAGGTGATTTCTGAGCCTGGCGACGATGGGTCAACTTCAACCTGAGAAATCCAGAGTTATAAATGAGGCACCCATTCTTGTGGCTATTTATAGCCACTGGATTTTGGTGGATTTATTGCTTGTGACACGCCAACCAGTGTCCAGGTTTCTCCAAAATCTCGTTGTTTGCGCCGAGAGAGGACGCTGAAAAGCTCGGGGCGATGGCCCAGCGCCTTGGTGCACGGGCGGCCACTCCGTACGCCTCGATCTGAATCATGCCGACAACCTTCTGAGCGATCGTCGAGCTCCAAAGTGTGGAGACGCCCCGGCCCGCCAGACGTGCCAAGAGACTCAGGGAAACGTCGAGTCCGTCACGACGGGCTGTGAGACCAAAGAGCGACGACCCATGAACGTCACAGTTTAGACCGTCCGCCGTGACCAACGGAAGGTTCTCAATCAGAGGACTCGTGCCGCTGCACTTGGGCTGTCTCTGGAGGGCAACTCGGAGTGCGTACACAAAGCACCCGCTTCGTTTGCTTGCCGCAGCACGCGCCGTCGCACTCGTGCTCTCTTCCACGCCGAGCACAAGTTTCTTGGCGACGCCGAGGGTGTCTTCTTCGACATTGGCCAAGACCAGGAGCTCGTGACGTCCGCTGCGTGCTCGGTGGTTCGCTTAATGAGGTGCAGCACCGTGTCGATCTCTTGTTTGCACAACAGAAGACTCATGCCCAAGGCAGCCTGCATCGCATCGGTAGCGGACCCAGCGCGCGTCCTTGAGCGCCGAGGCGACGCTCACGATCTCTTCCTCAAACGCCTTCTCCAAGTTGAGATCCAGCCATGTGTAAAGCGTCGTCGAGCAGCCTCTTGGTCGACGCAGACTCTGTGCGCAAAGCAGCCTAGGCTCGGCACTGGCCTCGGGGGGCGAAATACATTTACGGGCAGCCCATGGACCCAATCGTCGTAGAAAAGCGTATAATTGGACTTCGACGCGCCAATTTCGTTCTAGTACGCCTGCAGCTCGGAGACTTTTGTATGGCCTTGTAAACACGTTCGCCTGCAGTTGACAACGCAGCAGCAGCTACGCTGGAAAAGCCAGCGAGACGTTGGTCTTCTGGAGAGCACCGGTCGGTATCCTTGCTTCTATCAAGGCCATGGCGTGGCGCGAAATTTTCGCCCATCGAAATGAAAACTGCAACCAGATGGGTTTAAAACATAATTTTGATTAAAACAGTGACGCGAGGTCATTCCCATGGTTGTCTTCCTTGGCGAGGAGATGACACACGATGGGAGACCCGGATCGCAGCGTACTATGGTCCAAGGACAGACGCCCAGCGCTTTGCAGCAATGGTGGATGGAACCACACTTGTCCACACGTCATGTCAGGGCGTGCGCGGTGGGTCGTGCTCGCTGTGGCAGATCGTTCGCAACGGTGCCTGCTTGTCACTGCTCTGCATGGGGTGTACCTCGGTGATGTCGGTGATGCTGGCAACGAAGAAGCCGAATGCACTACCGATGATGAAGCCGCCTACGCTACAGGCGACGAAGCCGCGTGCGAAGCCACCTGTGTTTCCAACGACGGCGACTGGGACCGATGCCGTCCGCAAGGTGGCTTCGGCCATGCGGTCAGCAGCCGACGAGAAGACGACACCTCCAGCGCTGAAAAAGGTGAAGCGCACACCCGTGGACGACGCGAGCAGTCGCCTCAACGTCGCGGTCTAGCCTTCGGCCGCGATCGCGGCCGACGCCCTTTCGTGCAGGATCGCAGCATATTTTTATTCTCTATTATATTTTATTATCCGTTTGCCTCCCCGCTTTTTCGTTTGCCCAGCGACTTGAATCATCGTCATGAAGGGGTTCCACCAAGCGCGAATTTGTATAAGCGAATTTCGTGCTACACCCTCGATATTTATGGCCTTGGTGCTATCGACTGGCTTGTGCCGTGTACTTGTCGTGCGCTGGAACGCAATCATATCCGGCCCAACGACGAGGACTTTGTGGGCACCAGTTGTTTATATTTGTTTTCAGTCGCCCGGAGGTCGGTCGGACCGGCCATTATCAACGCGGAGTCTCCGTCGCGCATTGTTTGGCCGACACGTGCGAGCGTGGCTCTCCCGCATCGTTGCGAGCGACGCGCAGGAGACGAGCCACCGGCCATTTTGGACGCACGGCTTTCGAAACTTGGATCCAGGAGGGGGCTAGACGCATGGAATCTCTAGCATATGCATGTAACAAATGACTCTTGTCGTACGCCAAGATTGCGCGAGTAGCTATAAACTTTGGGGTCTCGGTCTCACGTGGCCTACTGCAGATTGGGAGCAACCCCGTGCGGACAGCTGCGATGCTCGGGCTCCATGCACTGACACCAAGTCTCCTGCGAACCATCCGAGCGAAGCGTAGTAATTGGATCGGGTGCCAAAAAGACGTCTCTTGTTCCGCCGAGGTACTGAACTCTGTCCCACGACGAAGGGCACCTCGTTTCGGCACCAACACGAGCGGCTTATCAGAAAGCTCCATGCTATTTGAGCCTGCCGTCTACTGTCACTCTGCAGGCGCAGTTGACGGCGAGCGGTGGATTGAATCTGCGGAGCAACTCCTGGGTACCATCCAGTATCTCGTCCTTCATCTATCATGAGGAACCGGAAATTTTGCGCCGCTTGGCGTCAGTGGGATATCGCAGCGCTCGCACGTGCGTCCACGTCACCGATAAGATCATATTTTAAAAATATATTGCAAAAACGGCCATGACGTGGCATACGGACGAATCTCTTCGGACCGACCAACACCGAACGCGTCAGTACGCATTTTCTCGACTTCGCAACATACTCGAATCGACTAATTGCCCGACAAGATGGAGTACAACCGTCTCTCGGACGCCGAGATCAGTCGGCCCTCGGAGCGCAACGCCCGCCACTCGTCCGGGTACGACCTCCAGCACCGCGAGAGCATGGACCTCTGGCGCGAAAGCGTGCGTGAGAGCGAGAAGTGTCTGCGCACGTCGGCGTCGGGCGACTTTTCCCGCGCGTCCGAGTTCCGCGTCATTGTGCCTGTGGAAAGTGACGTGACGCAGCCCGAGTCAAAGCGCGATTACAAGGGCCGCATTCGAGTACGCACATGCAGCACCATGCTCGGATGATATGACGGACGTAGACATGGCCGGGGATCCTGCTCTTGTTCTGCATCGTAGCGGGCTCAGTCGTTGGCATCGTCTTTGAGGCCCGTGACGCGCGCGACGCGGCGAAGGAACGCGTCCTGATCGCCACCAACAGGCTCTTCAAGAACCACTCTGGCAACCTCGTTTCGGGAACCGCCGACACGGATGCTGCCGACGGTCAAGTGGGCAACCCCATGACATACTCGACGACAAGTACGTCGGTATTCATCCGATCAAAGTCGCTCAATTGTCGGTTGGCGTAGACTGCGAGCTTCCCAATTACCTCAGCAAGAACGGCAAGATCTACAGCACGAGTGCCAACGGCACTGAAGTCGCGGTCGGACTCAAAGGCCTCAACTGGTACGACGTGTCCCGCACCCTTTAGTGCAACGATTCCATTCTACCACGTGGGCAGGTTTGGCATGGAGACAGGCGTCAACGTGCCGCTCGGACTGTGGGCCAACAGCCAAAACGGCACGACCGCGGTACGCCGTACTCGAAAAATGGCGGCAGCATTATTCTCCATCTGTCTAGTATGTCATTGCGCAGTTTATGCAAGAACACAAGTTCAACGCCGTGCGCCTCCCAGTGTGCATCACGAGCCTCCTCAAAAACACGCCACCGATCAGCGGGCTCGTCAACAAGGCGCTCAACCGAGCGCTCGACACCTCAACGTACATGAGCACGGTTCAGTCGATTATCAAGGTGCTCGCGTACCGCAACATTGGCGTCCTCATCTCGCTGCACACACTCACAACGACCAACTCGGGCGGCACGTGGTACGATGAGAGCCTCGGCATTTCCAAAGCCGACTTTCTCAAAGCGGTCAAGATCCTCACGACCAACCTCTGCTCGGCCACGTACTGGAACGTCATGGGGCTCGACGCTAAGAACGAACCGCACACATCGACATGGGCCGACTTTGCGTCCGGCGCCGAAACCATTGGCACGCAAATGCTCAATGGGTGTCCCAACTGGCTCCTCTTTGTCGAGGGCGTCAACAGCGCGCATACGGTGGCGCTCAACGGGTCGACGATTTCGTATTTCGACTGGTGGGGCGGCGGGCTCCAAGAGGCGGGTGGTCGCCCAGTGGCGCTCACGACGGCCAACAAGGTTGTGTACGCACCGCATTATTACACGCCGGCGGTCTCGCCTCAGGCGTATTTCTACGGCCCGAGCTTCACCGAGCTCGACGACGCGACGCTGAAAGCCCGTATTCAGGCGACGGCGTACGACATGTTTGGCTACTTGAACGCCAAGCAAAAGGAGGCCGTCGTCCTCGGCGAGTTTGCGGGACTGTACGCCAAAGACGCCCACCCGCTCAAGACGACGCAGCGCGCGACGGACTTTCTCATGGCCGTCATGCTCGAGGAAAACTATGCCGGCGGGTTCATGTGGTCGATCAACCCCGAGTCTGCGTATCAGTACAACCCCGGCTGGACGGCCGGGACGTTCACCGAAGGCCTCGTCCTCGACGACTGGCTCACGCCCAACAGCGTCTTTCTCAAGGCGATTGCGGTGCTCGATGCGGTGCCCAACCTTCGGTCGTTCCCGTGTTTTCCAAACACAGCGTAAGATCGAAACTATGATTTTGCTCCGATGCTTTCACATGCTGTGGGCGCGCGCTTTCTCGAGCTGGACGAGGTCGAGGACTTCGCGCGCATGGCCCGACGACGTGAGCCACTCCTTGAACTTGGCTTGGACCGCCTGCTCCAACGCGCGCTTCCCAGCGCTCTCGAGGTCGTCTTGGGCGAGGAGGACCCGGAGACTCTCGACGTTGGCGTGCAGTTGCTGCACGACGGCCTCGAATGGTGGTGGCAGCGCCAACGGCGGCGCCTACGAGTTGATTCGATGCAGAGTGTTTTGCATCTGCATCTCTACCTTGCTTGTGGACGCGAGCGTCGAGAGTTCCATCTTGACGGGAATGCACACGTCGATAAACTGACTCGGCGATTGCAGCACGATGGCGTCCTTCTCATGGGCGTCCTCTAAGCCTGCATGAGGCACCAAGCAGGATCGTCGTCTCTACCCGGCGACGCGAGGTTGAGGAACTTGTCCCACATGCCCGCGGTGTGCGGCACGAATGCAAACTCACTCGCGCTCAAGTGGTGCGCGAGCATCGGGTAGCTGCAGTTGTATGGGCCAACCAGAAGGCCACGGTTGTCGCCCGAGAAGAGGCCGCGTCGGGGCGTAAACACGTTGAAGGTCGAATCCAAGCAGTTGCTACACAGAGTCTTTTCGTCATCCTCGCCACGATGACAAACGTCGTACTGGACGCGAAGCAGTGCGGCGACGCCCGTGACTTTGACGCTCTCGCAGCGGTCGATCGAGAGCACGCCGTGGTTCGGGACGAGCACGATCTTGCAGTTGGCACACGCCACGATCGACACGTGCGTAGCTCTCTCGTCAAGAAAACAGTCGAGAAGACAACTTGCCCATACCCAAAAAGACAAAAAGGATATCGCACGGGACCCAAAATGTAAACGAACGCGTCGTGGCAGGCAAAGATCGTCACGTCCGAGCGCGGCGTCATCTCGTCGGCGCGTTTGATGACGGTCGACTTGGCCACGTTGCTCAGCACGAGCGGTCTACGCAGTCCTATACACCGCATCTTAGCAACCTTGAGAACGTACCGCTGGAGGTGGATCGCGCCTTCCGAGTCGTCCATGTCGCTGCCGTTCATAAGGTCGAAGGACCCGTGGAGTTGAAAATGCATCGACGGCGGCAAGGCAAACCCAATCGGCGGATACAAGACGTCGTTGAGCGTGAGGTACTTCTTTAGCCACTTGGCGAGCTTGCTCGTGTATTGGCTGCCGTTGACCCATTTCGGGTAGATGGTGCTGAGGTAATAGCGCTGCTGCACGAACGAGTCGCCGCCTGCGAGCAAGAAGCCGAGAACGTCGAGCTGCTCGGGACGCAGAAGGATGTCAGCAAACACGTTGCCGTCGCGCTGCACGTCGAACAAGAGCACGATGAGTGTGTCGAGATGGTCTCGGACAAAGTGAAGGTACTGCGTCTCCGCCTCGGACCGGTCCTTGAGCCCGATCGTGTGCGGCGACGCGGGGCCGGGCGAGTTGGGCGTCGTGCGCGGACTTGGCGGCGGCGTGCCTTCGTCGTGGTGCCACCTACATGCGCGTTATGCTCGTGGCATTGTCTAGCGCAGTCGCTCGTACACGGCGCTAAAGGCCGTCTTGGGCTTGGCTTTCGATGGCTTCTCCAAGTGGAGGTACAGATAGATGACGAGCTTGAAGAGCGGGATGGACTCCTTCGTGTAGTAGTCTTCGTCGGCGAGGGCCGATGCATCGTACGCTTCGCCGTCCTCGCTGGGCACTCGGATGTGGCGGTGGGCCGTTGTCAAGACGAGCCAAAACCTACGGTGGGCGTCCATGGCTGCACCAACGAGACGCAGGGACCACGTACGAGCGACATTCGAGCTCCTTCCATTGCAGAACCTCGGTCGCGATCTGCTGCCACGCTTCGTACCTACACCCGATCGCATGAGCCATGGTCTGCGGGATACCGTGGCGACGGGATCGGTCGGGCGACGGAGCCCAAGGCTGGCGCCGGCGGGAGCTCGAGCGCGTGCAAGGCGCCGACGACCGCGCAGATGCTAGCGGACGTCAGCTGCGCCAAGCAGCGCGGGGCGAATGGCAGAGCAAAATGCTCGAAGAGCTCCATGCGGACCCAGACCCGCGGAGCCATGCTGCGGAAGATGAGGTTTGGATAACCTCCAAGTGATATTAATACTGTACAAGTATGCCGGATGGGTTCGTCCGGATAGACATATCCGGCGCCTCTGGTGGCCACCAAATAGTGTTTTTTCACGGCCGGCAGTCATGGTCGCGAATAGTGTGGTACCGTGTCGCGACACCAGCCGTGGACGGGGCGGGCAGAATGTAGGTTTTAGCTGCATGTTTGTAATAAAGCGTCGACGCGCGCCATCACGGACCGGCGGGGGATGGTGGGATTTGGCCAAATAGTGTGAGTGTGAAATAGCGTGGGAAAAGAAGGCAGGAATTTCAAAGTTCAAATTTTTCTTGCCTGTGGTCGCCGGGTGGTTCGAGTACGGCAGTAGAGAGCGAGACAAGGCAACGACGACATGACCTCGGTGAAGATGGAAGAGAGCTCGGTACGACGACGCTCTGTATGTGAAGCATCGCCTTACTCCATCCTAGGTGAGCCGTCAGCTGTCGCAGTGCAACGAAGACGCGTGGATGACGCTGGCCCGCATCGCCGAGATGATGGGGGACGACGACAACATGCTCGTCTCGTACGAGAAGGCGCTGTCGCACAACCGCCTCAACACGGGCGCGCTCTACAGCATCGGCTGCTGCTACGAGAAGGCCGAGAACTTTAGCAAGGCCGCCGACTGCTTCCGCAGCCTCGTCACGCTCAGCGAGCACGCCAACAACACGGACGCGTGGGGCCACTTGGGCTACTGCTACATGATGCTGAACGACCTCGCCAATGCCCATACCGCGTACCAGTACGCCATGTACAACAACCCGGCGTCGCAGCGCGACCCGACCCTCTGGTTTGGCATTGGCCAGCTCTACGAGCGCTCGGGCGCGCTCGACCACGCCGAAGAATCCTTTGACGTACTATAGCGCCATGTACTATCGAGAAGACGCTCATCTCTTGCGCTATAGGCGGTCCTTCGTTTCGAGCCCCCTTTCAACATGGCGCTGGAAGCGCGCATCCGCCTCGGCATCATCGCCAAGCAACGCGGCGACCTTGACGTCGCAGTCGAGCGCCTCAAGTCGGTGCTCTCGCTCGCGCAGTCGAACGACATGCTCAGCGACGTCTGGACGCAAATCGGCCACGTCTACGAAATGAAGTCGGAGGTACGCCCACCAATCGCGTGCCGCCCTTTTATATCACTTGTTGCTACTAGATCCAGTTGGCTCAAAGTTCGTACCTCAAGGTCGTCGATCTCAACCCGAACAACGCCAAGCCGCTGCAGCAGCTCGGGTGGCTCTGCCTCAAGCACAACCAGCACGTCGAGGCCATCAAGTACCTCAAGAAGGCGGTCGCGGTCGGTACGTTTATGCATTTTTGTGTTGTCGTGTCCCTTATGACGCATTTGTGCTCTAGATCCGCAGGATGGCAAGGGCTGGTACCTCTTGGGTCGCTGCTACATGGCAGTCCGCGAGTACGAAGAGGCGTACGACGCGTACAAGCACGCCGTCAACTCGGACCCGTCCAACCCGAACGTGTGGTGCTCGCTCGGCGTGCTCTTTTACCAGCTCAACCAGCACCTCGATGCGCTTGACGCGTACTCGCGTGCGATCAACATCAACCCCAACATTTGCGAAGTCTGGTACAACGTCGGCACGCTCTACGACGCGTGCAACCAGACGACCGACGCCCAGGACGCCTACCAAAAGGCCGCCGAGCTCGGTGCCGACGCGCAGTTTATTCGCGAGCGCCTCGACTTGCTCCGCGCGCGGGAAGCCGGCCAGCCCACGACCGGCATGCCGGGCGCCAACTCGGCGCCGGGTCCGTCCGAGCCGCCGACGACGTCCCCGATGCCGTCGTTTACGTCCAAGAACACGCCGGCGCCAGCGCCGGCCGCCAACTCGGCCCCGGGCAATGCGCCGCCCCAACAGCAAGGTGGGCAGCCGCCAATGCAGCACCCGTCCCAGGGCAACGCAATGAACGCGCCGTACAACCCGCAGCAGCCGCCGAGCAACGGGGGCCCGATGATGGCGCCCATGAATGGTGGCGCGGGCGGCCAGCCGCAAATGAGCATGATGCGCCCGATGTCGTCGAGCCGCCAGCCGATGGGGGGCATGGGCATGCCGCCGCCGCCGCAGCAGCAGCAACAACAAGGCCCGCCGGGCATGCTTCCGCGCGGCGTCATGGACGGTCCTCCCCAAGGTAGCACTTTTGCCTCGTAAGCTCTGCTGCGACGTGGAGTCGTCGCGGCAGGGTGGTCGTGCTTGTCACCATCGTCTCGATCCAAATGTGCTCTCCTCTAGGCCGGCGGTAGAGGACAACGAACGACGGAGCCCGTAGTTGTCGTGTATTTTTCAAACCCATTCTTCTCTATGCCGCAACGAAGTGGCTTACGCTGGCACCCCGTACACTGTCTTGAGCCGCTGGATGTGCTCCCGCTGTGTTTGCAGCCGAAGCTCCTGAAGGTACAGCTAGCGCCTCTGGATGAGAGGTCAGGCGTACGATACGCACGTACCTCGGCCGCGTACTGGGCCTTCTCTGCGTCGTCAAATGCACTCCACGCGAGCTCGTACTCGGCGCGCTTCTTGTGGAAGAGCCGCGTCGCCATCTCGACTTCGCTCTCGTAGTTGAGGACGTTGTCGCGCAGCTAGGTCCACGCTGAGACATCAGAAGCGGCGCCAATCGTGTTACCTCTTGGGCGTCGAGGGCGTGTTGGAGGTCCTGCACCGCAGTCCACGTCGCATCGTCCGACTAAATGAAGCTCACAGCAACGAGCGATGGATCGAGGAGACTACCCAAAGCGCACGGAAGTGACGCAGCAGCAACGGACGTACGACGACCGAGCATCCGCGCAGAATGTCGATGGCGTCGCAGGGCACAACGCCGACGGCAACAGCGCTCTACGAGGACTTGGGACACGGGTTACATCATCATGGCGTACGTTTGGCTCGAGCTGGACCCAGTTAGAGGCGAAGAGATCCCAGAACCGCCGCTCGCCCGTGACGCCGCTGGCTGCAAACGCCGCGAGCACTAGCCGCACTACAAGTGGCGCTGTATCGATGACGATGTTGAATGGCGGGGTACCGTCCGGCAATGGCGACGAGCCCTTGGGCTTGATGAGCGCTTGCGCATTTGCCAGCACCTGCGCGCTCTCGTTGCTGAGGCCGCAGGCTGCCTCGAACGCATGCCACTTTTCGAGAAGCTCGATCTGGGCGGTGCGACCCAAGGCCGCACAGCTCGCCACGTCATCGGGTAGGCGCAAGTACGTTTTGAGTGCGGCGACAAGCGTCGCCTCGAACACCGTGCAGACATCGTCGACAATGACGCTCATGTCGTCATCTGTCCGACTTGCGGCCACGGACGCACAGATGTCCTCCAAGTCGGTCCACCAGTTGCCCACTACAGTGTAGATTGAGCCCCGTCACGAATGTGTCATGACACAAGATCTACCAAGGGCAGTGATGCGGTCGACGTCATCGGGGGAAAGCACGAGGTCGTAGTGCGCCTAGCCACTGCGTCAAGAGCAAGCAGAGCAGCCATACGAGGCCGAACCGCGAGCATCGCCAGCTTTTCCTCGGCAGACGACGCATCCACACTGTACGAGAGGTAGCATGAGCGAAGAGGTAAGGTGCTGTGGAGACGACGCACCACGCGCTCTGCGGACGCACAAGCAAGCAAATGTCGCTGCTCTCGCGCTTCGCAACGACAAACTCGGTGATCGCGGCGCATGTCGGGGCCGTCCACACCACGTGTGCTAATGCTGCCGTGACGCGATGCGAGGCGGCATGAGCGTACCGAGCTGCTGCGACGTGAGTGCTTGGCCCCACGTTTGGTACAGCGCCCGGCGATCGGTCGAGCACTCTGTCAACGCTTCGCGTGGCGCCAAAATGTAGACAAGTGCGTCGTCGTCGTCAGCACGCGACTCCTGCTGAAGCGCCTGCGTCAGCAGATCGAGCTCGTATTGCAGGAGCCTACTAGTACGCAACACGCAAAGTTGTTCGAGTCTGAATATCTGGATCTGGAGGAGAATCTGGGGACGCACCGGGCGTCGTACAGATCGCTCCGCAAACCAGACTCCAAGTAGAACTGGCACGCGCGCACTTTGCGCAAAAAGCGCACCCAGAGCGAGCGCACGCTCTCGATCGGTGGCGATCGCAGTGACGACGAGAAGGAGACGACGTCGCCTAGCATGTCATGACGTGAGGTGGTACATACGCGTCATCATTCTCTACCGAGAGGCACTTCGATGCCACCACGCAGGAGCCTACAGTACGTCTATCGTTTGCCATCGAGCGTATGTCCGTGTACTACATGGAGGTGACGGTCGTCGCATGGTCTTGCGGCGACACGACGACGACGTGCGGGAAGCTCGGTGTCGCCTTCATGAGCCACGTGCCATCGAGGGCCTTCTCCTCGTCCTAGCACTGTGGCTTACAGCTCCTATCCCAAGCGTATCGCGGAATACATTCAGGGATGCATGGTAGTTCTCGCGCTTCGCCGCCAAGTAGCGTCGCAGCAAGTGGAGCTCGCTCGCATTGTCATTTTCAAGCGCAACGCCTGCAGCGACACTGGCGCCCAATGCTGCAGTCGCTAGCCCATAGCCTAGCCACGCCCAAGGTCAGCGCGCATGCAAGGCCAGGACGCGTCGTACGCAGCTTGGGCCGGATCGCGGTCCATCGTTGCAGCATGCTCGTGGGCGAATGCTGCCATTCGATTGGTCATCCGGATACTATGCCCAACTCAACCGGCCGACAGACTGCGTCATCGCCCCATCATCGCCTCATCTCAGTGCTGCGTCTTGCCTCCCCATTTTAGCAAGGGACACCAAGGGACAGCCATCCTCGATCCCGCCGGCTTGTCATCGTCGTCGCTGTACTTCGTTCGCGTCCAAGAGCACTCGCTCCGTGTCGTCCAGAGTGATAGGCATGGGTGGGAAGGCTGGTTCGATGACCCAATGCGTCGTCGCGAGGCCGCTTTGACCTGCAGTCATCGAATGGTGAACGGCAGCACCGAGGATTCCAAGGACAAGAAGCCGGGCGCTTTGAGGTGACGAGTGGGTGTCAGAGTCCAGGGCGATGTCGTCGTCGTCGTCGCCGGGCGAGAGCGGTTCTGGCTGCCTTGTGGTTGCAGTTGCCGACCGAGATGGGTACATTCGCCGTCGCTTTGTCGGCGGCGGACGGTACAGGGCCACGGGGCTGCCACGACTGCGTTTGATTGGCTTGCTCGTGTCTCATTGGTCCGTGCTTATGCTCTCGTCCAATCCGATCAGCTCTTTGCGACTTGACAAGGGCGTGTCATCGATCCACGTACGGCCTGTACCCTGTACGTACGTGTACGTACATTTGATCTTGATGTACGTAGGCGCGTGGTTTCGTAAGCCGGCCGCCCCGTCACGTGTGATTGGAGGTTTCCACATCCTTGGCGGAAGTCCTCACTTTGCAACTTGCACCATGGCCGACAGCTCGCGCCCCGTGACCCTCCTGCGCCGCGACTCGCGCCTCACGGTCGACAACCTCCTCAAGGAAGCCTTCGCCAAGGTCGACGTGCATGGCTCGGGCGTCGTCGCCACGACCGACATTGCCGAGGGCCTCAAGAAGGCCGGCGTCCGCCTCTCGGCCGACGAGGCGGCCGCGCTCGTCGCGAAGCTCGATACGCGCCACGCTGGCAAAGTGACCTTCGCCGACTTCCACGCTGTCCACGAGAGCTTTATCCACCAGATCTTCCAGTCGTTCGACGTGCAGAAGAAGGGGTTCCTGGACGAAGCCGCGCTCCAGGAGGCCATGGTCAAGATGGGCATCCAAGTCACGATGGCCGAGGCGACGACGATGATCAAGGAGCTCCACCCCAAGGACGCCACCAAGATCACCGAAGACGACTTCAAGCACCTGTATCTTCTCATGCGCGCGACGATGGTCGCCAACCCCAACTTGGAGGCGCTCATGTGGGACCCGGATGTCCGCGAGTTCTCCAAGCAGTGGTGGAAGGCCAGCGTGGAGGTCGGCGAGGGCGGTCTCCGCGCGCCGATCTCGACGCAGAGCGATGCGCCCAAGAAGGTGTCGCCGACGATCAAGTTTTGCGCCGGTGCCATGTCGGGTGTGATTGAAGCCGTCATTCTGACGCCGCTCGATGTCGCCAAGACGCGTCTCCAGCTCGACAAGACGGGCCAGTACAAGGGCATGGTCGACTGCGGCAAGCAGCTCTGGCGTGCGGAAGGCCCCAAGGCCCTCTATAAGGGCTTCACGCCCTGGACGATCCACGTCGTCGCCAAGAACGGCACGCGCTTCTACTTCAACGCGATCTACCGCAAGCTCCTCGCCGACCAGAACGGCCAAGTGAGCGGCTTTAACGAGTTCATCGCGGGTGCGCTTGCCGGTGCGACCGAAGCCGTCCTCATTGTGACGCCGTTCGAAGTCGTCAAGACGCGTCTCCAAGGCCAGAACGTCGTCGCCGGCGAAATCCCCAAGTACCGCGGGCCGCTCCAGACGACGATGACCATCATCAAGAACGAAGGTCCGTTCGCGCTTTGGAAGGGCTGCGCGCCGACGATCGGTCGCCAGGGTCTCAACCAGGCGTGCTCCTTCTGGTCCAACACGGCGATCAAGAAGCACGTGTGGAACCTCAACGAAGGCGAGAGCCTCTCGCCGTGGAAGAGCATGCTCACGGGTATGCTCGGCGCGATCCCGGGTCCGTGTATCAACTGCCCCATGGACGTCGTCAAGACGCGTCTCATGGCACAGGACAACGCCAAGGGCACGACGCCCAAGTACAGCGGCATGATCGACGCCATGCGCATCATCTCGCGGGAGGAAGGCTTCTCGGCGCTCTACAAGGGCCTCGTCCCGCGCCTCACGCGTCTCTGCCCCTCGTACGGTATCCAGTGGCTCGTCATGGACCAGGTCTGCGAATACTTCTCCAAGAACTAGAGCCCTCGCTGCGTATTAAGTAATTAGATTCCTCTTTCGATGTCCCCCAACGTCGACCGTCTCTCTCCAGTCAAGCTCGCGTCGGCGTGGGCGGGCGCAATGCGCGAAATCACGCTATTGATGCGTGCTTACCGCTCTGCCTGCGAGTGTTGCATGCATCTGCAATGGTTGAGGCCAAGCACGAGGTTGCGGAATCGGACGGTGAAGGAGAAGCCCTACAACACCTACGCCGAAGCTGGCGTCAACAGCGCAGGTCGTCCGGCAGCGCTGGCCATAAAGTAAGGCGTCGGGACCGGCGATAGAGCACGTGGCATGATCGATACGACCGCTACAAGGGTCAACACCCAGGCCATAAATGTATGACCTTGCTTGCACTCGACGTACCCGACGCTCCTAGGCTCGCAGGCAGCAAGTCGGCCGTAGAGACCAACGAGATCGGGACCATTGCGCCGCCGTATCCATGTGGTCCAGCCCAGAGTCTGCATGAGCTGGAGAAGCGTTGCCGTCCGAGACCGTTGGGTGCGTGAGTTGGGCCTACGCTCGGAATAAGCTTGGTTTTTGTATGCATGCACGGTATCTGTTGGTGAAAAATCAGCGCATTTCGGATTTGCCAGCACGCGAGATGACCCGCGGAGGCAAGAAGGGCAAGCGGCCGCGGGCCGACGCCGTCAAGGAGCCTACCGACTCGGACAGCTCGGTTGAAATGTGGTTTTCCAACGAGGAGCCTCCGAAGCGGACGACGCCAAGTCATCCGCCGCGGCAGCACCGGCCTCGGGCGACACTCGCGGACGCGTATTGCGACGGCAGCGAGGAGCGCGACGTCCAAGCCGCCACGAAGCGCAGCCTCTACGACGTATCGGTGCGCATGGATGCGCCGGAGCTACCCGAGTGTCTCGTCTTCCGCCCGACACTCGCCGAGTTTGCGACGCCGGCGGCCTACATTCGGTCGATTGCAGCGCAAGGCCGGACAACGGGAATCGCCAAGATCATTCCGCCTGACGGCTGGTCGCCGACACTCCAGATCGACTTGGACGACGACACGGCGTCGATGGCGACCGAGCTCCAGCGTATTGATCTGCTGCAACAAGGCGTCCCGCATGAAAACGGGCGCCGTCACACGCTCCGCTCGTACCGTGCGGCGGCCGCTGCGTTCGAAGCGCAGTGGCGCCAAGCGCATGACATGGACGCCAATGCGACTTCGCGCGACATTGAGCGCGCGTACTGGAAGCTCGTCCTCGCGCCGTCCGAGGCGACCGAGGTACTCGACCTGCAACACGTCCGATCTCGTCTCATGCATCCGACTAGGTCGAGTACGCCAACAATGTGAGCATCAAGGATCTTGGCAGCGGGTTCCCCACGCCGCCCACGCACGCCAAAGCGTCTCTTCAAGCCAAAGCGTCGGAGGACGTCGATTTTGCCGACCCGACGTACTATGCCACGACAGCGTGGAATCTCAACAACCTGCCGTTCGCCGCCGGCTCGCTCTTGCGATACGTCGACGCGAGTATCGAAGGGCTGAACGTCCCGTGGCTCTACTTTGGCATGCTCTTCTCGACGTTTTCATGGCACGTCGAAGACAACTTCCTCTACAGCATCAACTACATGCACGACGGCGCCCCAAAGCACTGGTACGGCGTGGCGGCTTCAGACGCCGGGAAGCTTGAGGCTGCGCTCAAGGCCAACGTGGCCGAGACCGTCCGCCGCGATCCCACCGTCCTCGACCAGGTCTCTCAAACCACCGTGCGGTGAGGCGACAACGTCCGTCTGCGTCTAGCTGGTGACGCTCGTCTCGCCCCATCTCTTGCAGCAGGTCGACGTCAAGGTCTACAAGCTTCTCCAGGTGCACCTTGCGGCCTATTCTCCTCTGTGGCTAGACAATTGACATGAGAGAGCAGATGCCAGGCGAGATGGTCGTGACGTTTCCGCGCGGGTATCACTGCGGGTTCAACCAAGGCGTACGACGACCACTGTCCGTTCGTATTGCGTATCTGCTGCTCTTTGTTAGTTCAACTGCAACGAAGCCGTCAACTTTGCCCTCGCCGACTGGTTCCCGGACGCGCGGAACAGCGTCAAGTGGTATCGCAAGCGCCGGCGCAGCATGGTCATCCCCAACGACCGCTTCCACTACTGGCTCGGCCTTCGCCATTCGCTCGACGATATGCTGCCCGAAGACGGCGAAAAGTATCAATCTATCAATTATCTCCAAACCGTGCCACGGGTGTAGGCTGCTCGATGCGTTGCTCAAACTCCAAGACGACGAACGCACGGCGCGACAGACGCTGCGCCGAAAAGGTGGACGATACATGGACCCTCCTGTCGTCACCCGCTTCACCGTAGGGTTGGTGCACACGGCCGGCGTCGACGTCGGCCGCTTGGCGCTCACCGAAGCCGTGCTGGACTATGACGAAGCGTGTCGCCGCTGCTGCGTGTGCAAGCACAGCGTCTTCTTCTCCGGCGTCATCTGCCCGTGCTCGGACTCCAAGCTCGCGTGTCTCGGCCATGCTATGACCATGTGCGGCTGTGCGTATGCGTCCAAAACGCTCGTGGTCTTTGTCTCGATGGACGCGCTGTCGACGGTCGTCTCGGAGCTGCAAAACCGCGTCGCCGTCCTCTCCAGCCGCGTCAACGTCTGAGCTCTTCTTGTCGGTCAACCGTTAAAGTGCATGGTATCGAGCATAGCATTTGTTATGCATTATGCTCCCAATGTGCGGGCGTCGAGCCAAGCGACAAGGTCTGTCACGACCGCGTTGGCGATGGGCGCCGGCTCGTGCAAGAGGTCGTGGCACGCGTCGGGGTACGTGATGAGCTGCTTGTCATCGCAGCGCAAGAGCGAATGGAACCACGTCTCGGAGCCGTCGAGGGCGCAGACGACGTCGGCGGTACCGTGCTGCAAGAGCAGAGGAACAGTTAGCGATGCAAAGGCTGCGGTTGCGGCGGGCGTCTGGAGACCGTCCATGGTCTGCAGCACCGAGTAGGCTGTGCCAAGTCGGACTTTGCCCGAGTAGTAGAGCGGATCGGCGCGTTTCTTGGCCACGACGGCGTCGCGCACGAGCGGGCTCGAGCCTTTGCCGCCGTTGGATGGAACAATCGGGAGGCGCGGAGCAACGGTGGCGAGGACACTGACGAGGGCTTCGACGAGAGGCGGCGGGCGGCGGTTCGCAGCCAGTTGCAGCGCGGGGGCTTGGAGAATGACCCCGTCGATTCCATCTGCCGAGTCGAGCAGCGTGTGCACAATGAGGGCAGCGCCAAACGAGCTACACGTCGTGAGTGTCGGACCGGGAGCGATAACAAGAACGACGTACCAGCCGGCGAGAAAGATCTTCTTCTCCGGCCACGCGGCGCGGGCCAATGCAATATGCGCTTGGACATCGCGGACGAGCGCTGCATAGTCGGTCACGAGTGCGTGCGTGCCCGAGCTCCGGCCAAAGCCCTCGTGGTCAAAGGCGTACACGCCGTACGATGCGCGCAGCAAGGCATCCGTGAGCCGTTCCAGGTACCCCGAGTGCTCGTTCATGCCGTGCACGAGGAGCACGATGGCCTTGCAATCAGATGGCACCCACGACTGCACAAAGAGCTACTTTCACATCTTCATGAATCGCCAAGCAGCACCATGGAGGAGGCAGCGTACGGAGGCGTCGCGCATGGCCACGTGCTCGCGGGCGTGCGTGGCGAGCGCCCGAAGCTCGACCTCGCTGGGCGTCAGGGGCGTGCGCATGCGGGCAGCAATGTCGGCCTCGTCGTTGGCGAGGTAGTAGAGGCCTGCGCCGATGGCCCCGACGCTTATCGCGGCGAGGACCGTCGGCGAGCGCAGCCACGTCGACACGCCCATCATCCGCTTGGTGTCAAGTCAACCGGCTGGGGCAATTCCTTCATCCCGCGCTTGCCACTCATCCGGATACACCCTCTGCGTTTCGATGCATCGAGTGTGGGTATATATAAAAATCTAGAGGTTTGGCGCGGTGCGGGAGAGGTCGCGGGCGTGGTAGCCAGCCGGCGGCGCCGAGGATATTAAAAGAGAGAGGTTTCATTGACTGCAGCTGCGACGTAGTCAACGACATCTCTTCATTTTCCAACGTCCTTCGCACCGCGTAGCATGATGAACCAGCCGTCGTCGCCCAAGAAGGCTGCCAAGGAGATGGACTCGGTGCTCTTTGACGAGGAAGAGAAGCCGCATGCGCCCGTGGCCGCTGCCAACGGCGAGGCCGTCGCCGACGAGAACGACGACGAGAAGAAGAACCGGACGTCGTCTATGGGCTACGTGCTCCCGGTCGACAAGCTCAAGAACGGCGCGTCGACGGCGGGCAAGATGTTTGGCTCGGCTTTTGAGTCGATGAAGGCCAAGTCCTCGGCCGCCATCGAACAGGCCAAGCAGACCAAGGCCGGCGGCGCGATCGCGTCGGGCGTCAACACGGTGTCGAGCAAGGCGTCCGAGACTGTGGGCAAGATCAAGGAAACTGATGTGTTCAAGACGAGCTCGTCTGTCGCGTCGGGTGCTTTGGAGAAGGCCAAGGCCGGCGCCGCGATCGGCCTCGAGAAGGCCAAGCACGGTGCGGAATTTGGCCTCGAGAAGGCCAAGCACGGTGCCGAGTTTGGCCTCGAGAAGGCCAAGGCCGGTGCGGAGAAGGTCCGCTCCAAAGTCAAGGGCGGCGACGAAGGCAAGGCCATCTAAGCTCCTTTTTATTTGAAATATTATCGGATCATACCCCATGCAGTATCTCGAGACGCTCTGGAGTCGCCTCGTGCGTTGTCATGCTTAGCCATCAGCAAAGCCTTTTCCACGCTTGCCCTTGGTCTTGACGCGGCCGCGCGATCCGCCGTCGTACGTCGGCTTCTTCTCTTCGACGAACTTTTGTCCCTTGGTTGTCACGACCTTGCTTTCAAGGTACCGCACCTGACAACATCTTAGCAAGCCTTTAGGTGGAATAATGCGTACGAGGCCCTCCTTTGGCGGCGGCTTGGCCTTGACCTTGACCTTGGTTGGCTTGGCCTTGGGGTCCACGGGCGCCTTGATCTCTTCGTCGCTGTACTTGGTGAGGATCTTGTCGCGGAGATCGGTGGCCTACGCACCAACGTAAGGACGAGGACGCGCGGCTGCGTGCACCTGCAAGGTCGAGAGCGATAGGTACTTAGTCTCGTCGGCCCCGTAGTGCGTCACGAGATACTCGGCCGTGCGCCCCGCGTCGCCACGACACTCTTGGAGGTAGATGGTCTCGATCGAACGAAGCGACAGCTGCGGCGCGAGCTCTTTGAGCCACTGTAGCGTCTCGAGCTCGTTGTTTTCCGCAGTGGCTTCTTTCGCAGTACGTGGCGCGATCGTCACATGATGGGCGGGCTGGTTGCTCTCGCTGGCCAAGGCGCGCGTGATGGCACGGCCGTCGAGGACCAATGCAAGCGTATCGTCCGAGTCGGCGCATGGGCACAGCGCACAAATGCACTCGGCCGCTTGCTGTGCTTCGACGTCGTGATCGGCGACAACTTGCGCGATATAGACCACGATCGCATCGTCGACGTCGTCGTCGCCTTGGTTGCTGCGCCGATGGCTCGCTTCGAGGAAGCTGCGCACGAGCGCATGCAGTGCGTCAGCGTCCATCGCAAAATGAGGCTCGAAGCGCTGGACCGTGAATATGACCTTCGATCGACGTCGCTGCCCTTTCGAACCGCCAACGTATCTTTCGACCATCACTCACAGCATGCTGCCCGACGTGCGGGCCGTGGTCCACGAGATGGCCATGCTCGTCCATGGCACGTTTGGCCCGCGTGGGCGCGAGGTGCTCGTCATGTGTCCACCTGCGGCGCCGATCATGACGTCGTCCGGCTACACCATCTTCCACTGCGCGGCGTCGGCAACGGGAAAGGCCAACCCTATCTCGCAGCTCCTCTTGCAGACGATGCGGTCCTTGTACGTCGAGCTCGGCGACGGCGTCACGCAGTTCATCCTCATGCTGGATTTGTCCTGCGACGAGATGCACCGACACGCATCTTCCAAGCATGCCTGGGCAACGGCCTTTGCCGACCTCGCGAACGCGCTCCCGGCGCTGTATGCAACCACCTGCATGCCGTACGCCACGCCCATCCCCGTGGCCTTTGATCCGCACTCGCGTCAACCAAGCACCGAGGTACCGGATTGCATGTCTAACACTACAATGGACACAGAAAGGACCTAGCTACGAGACGCAGCGCAAGCTATTGTGCGGACGAGCTTGGCCGGCGCGTTCTCAGCCCCGGCGGTCGCATACCTCGCCGACATGACCGTCGATTGGGTCTTCCGAACTGTGCTCGACGACACAGACTTGGCGCTGCCAACGACGTCGGTGGCGCTGGCCAGCATCGCTAGTGACGTTCTCGCCGAGGCCAAGACGTTGCTGCTGCAACTCCCAACGGGCGCCTTGGACGAGAGTCGCATCGGCGCCAAGCACGAGTTTTACCTCCGCCACACTTCGTACGTCCGCGCAAACGATACCAAGTCGATAGCCCAGCGATTCGTGCTCTTTGACGGCAGTCTAAGCGGCCACAATGACGCAACACTGGTCACGGTCCATGTCCAGGCGGCCACGGCGCTCGCAACATCCCGCGCCAGTGCCATGTGGGCGCTCGAAAAGTACGTGGCCTCGCTCGCCCAGGACGCAAGCGTGAACCTGCTCCTGTGCACGGGCGAGGTGTCGCCGCAGGTACGATGCTGCTCGTACCATTTCATGATCCGCATAGTCTCCTTGTGTAGGTGCGCGACCTCTGTCGGCGCTACGGCGTCGACGTCTTTGCCTACCTCGAGACGGACGACGTCCTTGCCCTCGCCAAGCGTGTTGGCCTCATGTACGTCACAAGTATGTACGACCATGTGACTCCCGCGCACATTGGAACACACACCGGGGCGCTCGAGACGCTTCGCATCGGCGGCGTTCTCTACACCGTCTTTCGCCACTTGACTCGAGCGGCGACAACGCGATCTGTGCCCCAACTGCGGCTGCACGGATCCACAAAAGGCCTCACGACGCAGTACTACTACGCCGTGAAGAAGGCGCTGCGCGTCTTGTGCGCGTGGCTGCGGGACGGCGCGAGCCTTCCGGGTGGCCTCGCACCCGAACGCGCGGTGGCCATGGCCTTGCGCACTTCTCGGCCGCGCGATCTTGGCGCGTCGGTGCTGACGCATGCACTCCTTGGAGCGTGGAGTCAGCTCCACGAGAACCTGGCTGGCGTACAGACCAAGGCGACGCTGCGTCGTGGCCTTGAGCCCTTGACGACTCGGGATGATGCGTTCCTTGGGTGGGTCTACGAGACCCGTGCGCTACCACTTCCTGGCACGGAGAGGTAAGGAATCTATAGGAACGCCGGCATGCGAGCTTGCATCCTCCTAGTGTCCTTGCGTCCCACCACGTGCGAGTGGGCGACCCAGGCGCCGCTAACGTGCTCCATGCAGCGTCGCGCTCCCGTCGCATTCTCGAGGTGGTCCTCGACACGCTGCGGCAGCTCGCGCGACTGGATGGAATTTACGCCATCAAAAAGCCATGTACCGACTAACGTCGGTTCTTGAGCGTATACTAAGCAGTAAAGGTGCTCGTGAACGCCGGCCAGTTGCCATAGTACTCGACGTTGTCCTTGTTGGGCAAAGGGGGCAACACGTCGCCTGTCGCGCCCAGCAGGTAGACGACCTTGGTCAAGAACGGACGCAGCTTGGTCGCGACCTCGCGATGCTCTAGTGGCATCGTATTCGTCATCGACGGTAGAGATGATGAGGGGGAGGCTACCTTCGACGAGCAAGAGCGGCTCGATCTGTCGAATGAGCGCAATTTTGCCGACGATGGTCGTGCAACACAGAATCCGGTGGGGCGGGAGACCAGTCCGCGCGACCGCATCCCAGCGTAGCTCGGGCACTGCATTGAGAAGCGCCAACACCTTGGCCTTGGCGGCGTCGTTGGCAACGAGAAAGATGAGGAAGACGTCGCCTGTCGAGATGACGTCGACGAGACTCGCGACGACCTCGGGCGCGAGGGTCATGTCCGTGCCATGCATCGTCACCAGAGCGTTGCCCGAGATGCAAATCGAGCGTACACCTTGGCGCTGCGGCAAGTTGGCGTGCATGGCCTTGCCGACAGCGGAGAGCTTGGTGGTGTCCACGATCTTGCAGTGGCCGGCGCGGGCCGACGCGGGCGGGGCCGAGGCTTGGCGGCCCAGTAGCCCATTGCCAGTCGCCGTCGGCGCGGTCGGCTCGCCTTGCGACTTGGTGAAGACGAGGAACGTGAGCGCGAGGACGAGGAGCATCACGACAAGCGTCACAGGGTCCTCCATGCTTGCGCCGTCGAATTGTCGAAATGGGGTCCATCCGGAACGTATCCGGTATTCGTTGCGAAAATACGTGGCAGTGTCCGGTGCCAGGTTGGCACTCTGTGGTGGCTGCACCACGCAGCAGCCGGCCCAAATGCGTCTTCCAGCGTGCGTCGGCTACCAGCAAACGGTCCTCGCGGTGCCCACTCCTACTGCAGACACTACAGACGGTGTTGGCCAAGGCAAGGGGCGTTGTCGTGACTCCGCCTGTTCGGGTTGTGAGGACAGTCTGTGGGCCACTACTTTTGAGTTTGGTCCAAGCTGATGCTGTCATAGGACTTGCGCTTTGCTTGCAGGTCTACCAACTAGCAGTGCTATACGCAGGCTTGAGGAGGCTCTTTCGAGCAGTCGTCTGTGTCGGTGCTCTGGCGTGGGCGAGTATCCGGATGCGATTGGGCATCGCATCCGGAGACCTCGTTTGGGAAAGAAAAGAGAAGCCGGAGCCGATGTGGTGGAAGAAGGCAGCGCGCAGCGACGACGACGCGCCGGCCGCGAGCGTCGAGGACGAGCTCAAGAGCTCGATGGAGGTCTTCTGGCAGCCTCTCGTGGCGGCGCTGGCGACGGGCGAGCTGCGGGCCCAGGCGCCGGTCCAAGAATTTTTGCAGCGAGTACTACGAGCATGGCGATGGACCTTGAGCTCACGAGGTCTGCATGTGCTAGTGCGACGCCATGGCTGCCGGCCGCCACGAGTTCAAGAAAGAGTACCTCGAGATCCGAGCAAGCGTTGATGGCAGCGAATGGTACAAGGCGGCCTTGACCGTGCAAACACTGGCGACGTGCGCGAAGAACCGGTACACGGACGTGCTGCCGTTTGAGAAGACGCGCGTGAGGCTGCAGGGTCCACCCAACGACGACGCGGGCGACTACATCAATGCCAACTTTATCGACGACAAGGCGTACATTGCCTGCTGCGCGCCGCCGCCATCGGCGATCGCCGACTTTTGGTCGATGATCTGGCACGAAAACGTCCGCGTGATCTTGATGCTGACCAACTTTGTCGAACGGCAAATGGTGCTCGAACGCATGGCATTTAGTGCGTTGGATCTCACGCATCTGTAGCTCAAGGCTGACTGGTACTGGGATCCGCGAGGGTCGGTCGTGCGGATTGGTGACTTTACCGTGCGACTCGCCACCGAGACGGCCTCGGCGCTCGGCTACACGACGCGGTCCCTCGAACTCACGCACGTGCCAAGTATGGCCTTTGTCTTCTCGGCGATCCAGTGCGCTTGACGGAATCGTAGGCAAGGCCTCGCGGGTCGTCCACCACGTGCAGCTGACGACGTGGCCAGACCACGGCGTGCTCACCGACTTTGGCGTCATCGAGCCCATGCTACACCTCGTCAATGCGCTCAACGACGCAGAGGCACCCGGCCCGATTGTCGTGCACTGCAGGTCCGTATGCCGCTGTGACGACCGGCGTGTCATCATCTTGTCTTGGCAGCGCCGGCATTGGCCGGTCCGGCACGTTCATCGCGATCGACATGATGCTCAAGCAGCTGCGCGCTGCCGTCTTGAGTGGCACCGACGTCACGCATGCGCTCGACGTGCGCGCGATCGTCCAGCAGCTCCGGACCGACCGCCCAGGCATGGTGCAGACCGCGGTACGCGTCATCCTGACATACCCTCGTCTCATCGTAGGTGCGTAGGAGCAATACGAAATGATATACCAATACGTGCGGCACTATTTGTGCCGCGCGTAGATCCGCACCGAGTGCGATACTAAATCATCAAAAATGTATTCATGCATCGTTTTTAAATCCTTCAAAAATCAAGTGCCGCGCCGGTTAGTGATCGAGGAGCGGGTAGTAGATGTCGGCCGCCTCCGCATCGACCGACGGCGACGGGCGGCGCCCCACGACCACGACGAGCACGAGACCCATCCCGAGAAGCATGCACGAGAGCGCGAGCACGGTCGGGCCGCCGGTTACAATGTCCTGGCTCTCTTCCAGCAGCTTGGCGCTCTCCGAAAGCATGGCCGGCTCGGTCACGACGCAGCGGAAGAGGTCTTGGTCGTCGCTCGGCGCGTCCAAGATCGATTGACATTGGGCCTTGCCGCACGCCGAGCAGCACGTTTGGTTGAGCGAGGCCACGACCGTCGCGGAGGCCGTGGCCGAGACGGCCGTGCCGCGGCATACCTGGAACGGTGCGGGTTTCTTGGTTGCGTACGCGCCCTTGTTGCCGGCGACGCACGTGTCGGAGCATGCGCCAAAGGGGCAGTCCCACCCGGGCACGTCGCAGTTCTTGACGGTAAACGTTTTGGAGACAGCCACCGAGATATTCGGCGTCTGGAAGCCTTCGTAGGCAAAGTTGCAGGCGATCGTAAACGTCGTGTCGGCCTTGGTCGTTGGCTCGGTGAGCATTTGGAACGCAAAGCGCTTTAGAATTGACGCATTGTACGCGTCGCTGCTCACGAGAAGCGCGCTCGACCGCGTAGCGTATTGCACGGTGCAGAGAACGCCGGACGAGACGTACGGCAGCGCGATGGACTCGTTGCTGCAGCGAAGGCCCATCGACGGCGCATAGTCGAACGTGAGCTCGGCAAAGTCGCTCTCCAGCACATTGCAGAGCGCGCCAGTGCCGTCAAATGTACTGCTCGATTGGTACCACATGCTCTCGAACGCATCGGCCACGCACACCTTGCGGTTGAGATGGAGGTACACATCAAACTGAACCTTCTGGACGAGACCGCACTGCGACCACGCTTCGAGCACCACGGTCGACTTTTGCACGTCGAACCGGAGCGGCGACGCGTCGCTGGCGTCCTTGTAGCCGCGCCACGCACCGCCGTTGACGCGGTAGCGCCAGTAGACATACTTGGTGGCCATCTCGGTGGAAGCGAGAAGCCCGTTGGCGTCCGAGAGGTGCGATGTGACGGCAAAGAGGTCGTCGATCGCAACCACGTGCGCGCACTTGCCTTCGTTCGTGACGCCGTACGCCGTACACTCGAGCAGCAAGTGTACTTCCGACGTCGACTCGTACCCGCGCTTGGGATACAGGCGCGTAATGAGGTCGGTCGTCGCCTTCTTGTACGCGGCTTGGACAACGGCGTTGGCGGCGAAGAACGTTTCGCCCGTCGCGGCGAGGCACTGCGTCGTCTTGCAGCCTGCGTCCGAGCCCGCGCACTGCGCGATCGGCGTCGATGTGTTGCCGCACGTGTACTCGCGGTAGAGCTCTTTGAGCTGTGTCGTCCACTTGCAGCACCGCGTGCACTGCCCTTGAACCACAGGAGACGCGTCTTGGAGCCGACAGCTCTTTTCGCCGAACGGCGATGCTTGCAGCTGCGTCGTGACGACCGCAGGGAGCTTGTCCTTGAAGCATGTGTTCCCGAGGTTGACGTTCGCCTCGACAAACTCCGAAGCAAACATGTCCTTGCGGTAGAAGCGGTTCTCGTCGCAGCGCGCTTCGCTGCAGCCGTCGTTGAGGACGTTTTGGCTCGCACTGTACGCGGCATGCTGCTTGAGAACGCTGTCGACGGCGGCCACATTCGCAGCCGAGTAGGCGGCGACCGGCTCGCCGACGCACTTGCCACTGTCGCACAATGGCACGGGGCACCGCGCGGTACTCACGGGCCGGAACCGATCGACGACCGAGAGGCACACTTGGCAGTCGGCGTCGCTGCGGTAGCTTTTCGCCGTCATCGTGATGCTGTAGACACCTGGCGTGTCGAGGACAAGACTGTTGGTGATCGCATCCCGGTGCTGCTCGAAATACGCCCAGGCATACGGCGCCGTAAACACCGTGGACGGTGTCGGCGCCATCGCCGTCCGCTTGGCGACCGTCACCTGAATTGAGGGTGCGCCAGCCTCGACCGACTTGCCGTCGTCCTTGTCTCCGGCATTTCGGTGTGTCTCTGCCACGTAGTTGCTCCGCGGGTACGGAATGCGAGGGATCGTGCCGGGATACAGCGACGAGATCGCACAGGTCGACGCTGTTGCGGTCGTCGCGGCCGTAGTAATGTCGTAGTGGTAGCGCCGGTTGCTCCAGTAGCACGCGCACACCTCTTTGGGCTTGGGCGTGCAGGTGCGCTGGCCACTGCGCACCACGTCTTCGTAGCCCGTGGGGCACTTGCAGTGGCAGCGCCGTTCATCGTCCTTGCTCAGCGAGATGACGGGGAGGCCGTTCGGGAGCGCGCTCGCGCAATGGAAGCTCTGGACGGCTTTAAATGGGCTGTGCGAGAAGAGATCGGCGTCGGTCAGGAGGAGCACCGAGTCGTCCGCAAAAGCCGTATGGCACGCAGCGCACGCCGACGCATCCTTCCCGCTGCAGACATGGTAGTTGAAGACGGTGTGGATGCGGCGATCTTGCTCGTATGCCGTGATGACTTTGTGGGACATCGCGTCACCAAAGAGACTCACGACGGCGTTCGGCGCCAAGTGCGACGTGGCGTTGAGACTGCAGTAGACATCGCCAAACGGTGTAAACAACTCGATGAGGTCTTTGGTCGCGAGCACATTGGTGAGTGCGGCGTTGTTGGAGAGAAAGGCCGACGCGCCGTCGCGCGGGAGGTAGATCTTGGCGTCCTTGCCAGTGACCGGCGTCGACGCGCAATCGGAGAGGACGACCGTGGAAAAGGTGATGTCGCACGGCTTGCCGCCGGTCAGGAATTTGTCTTCGCTGGCCACGAGCTTGTCCATCCACTGCTTGAAGACGAGCGCCGTCGACTTGTCGAGGCACTGCGAGATCGCAAAGAGTACGTTGATGCTGCACGGCGTGGTCGATGCCAAAGGCGACTGGTTGCACGACGGCCAGGACGGGCTCACGTCGGCGTTGGCATCGAGGAGCGAGAGACCGCCGACGCCGTCGACGTCCATCGTCACGAGGTCCGACGACGCAGTGAGGTACGCAGCGCTCCACGGCGAGTCGGCCGCTGACCTCGCTTCGAGGTGCAGTGCAAACTGGTTGTCAAACTGCACATAGGCCGACGCAGCAGTCGCAAAGGCAATGAGCGCCGAGGGTGCGATCATGATCAAAATTGCCAAGTGAGGTTTCTCGAGGCTGCGGCACCAAGTCCATTCGAATCGAAGGCGAACAGTAGAAAAAGCTTGGCGGGAAATTAGAGGTTGCCATGTCGAACAAATGTCGTCTTCGTCAACGACGAGAAGATTAGTCGACACACGCGCATAATTGTGGTCTTCTTCTGTGGACCTCGTAGTACAAAGCAGTGGCGTCCGTCGACGACACTCGACGGCGACAACACTGACTTAGACGCGGCCATGCCCACGTGGCAGCCCCTTGTGCCGATATCTGTCGGTTATGAGATGCGTCTAACGGTAAAGGTTGAAGTTTGGAAGCGACAGTGCCCAGACCATGGTGTCCCATGCGCATGCTGCAGGCGCAGGATGTACCTGCTCCTGCAACATACTCCAGATCCAGTGCAAAAGCATGTTGTCGAGCTACAGAGGGAGTCCACAGCTACACAGGTGTGCGCCTGGGTATAGTGTCGGCAAAGCGGAATGCAAACGGTGTCGGTAAGGAAAACCTGCTATCTCCGGTGTCCGGATACGCGTCATCGGCAAGAAGATCGACGCTATGGCCTCCTCGCCCGACGTCCTCCATCTCATCTTTGAGTACCTCGACGACCACCGCGACTGGGTCCGCGCCGGCTGCGTCTGCCAGCGCTGGCGGCAGGTTGCGAGCAGCAACCGCCTGTGGCTGCCACTGCTGCGCCGGTACTGCATACCGCCGAGCCTTAGCGACGTCACCGGTGCCAACCAACGAGCGTTCGCTGCGGTCGCTGCGCAGTACCCCGGCCACCTGGACATCTACGCGGCGATCGCGCCAGCCGTGAGCGTGTTGCGTACCATCAACCCGTCTGCAGCGGCCGAGACGGCGCACAACGTGCCATTTGTCCAGCTCTTAGCGCCGTCGGGTGGCCGACGCGACCTCTGGCGGCCGGAAGCGACGTCGTGCACGCGTGGCGAGAAGCTCCTCTTGATGCTCTACCACTTGTTCACGAACACGTCGTTCATGGACATGCAGATGTGCTGCGCCGCGCTCTTTGGCTTCTTCGTCTGCTACAACGACGTGTACGCGCTGCATCTCAGGCGCCGATGGACCGTCGACGTGCTATCGCTGCATACGCAGCACTTTGGGACGATCCTCGGCTTCGCGTGGGCGCCCGGCATCGAAGAAGGTTTTGGCTTGGTGCTCGACGGGGCCCTTTCTGGCCATGTCATCCGGTACGGCAAGGCCATGGGGCGGGCCCACCGCATGGGGCCGATCCCGATGGGCGCGATCCCGTTCGAAGACCTTGGTTTCTTCGAGACGTGGCTCAACACCTTTGTGTCGGAAGTATCGACGGGCGTGCGTCGCATCGTGCGCGCCAACGAGACGATCACGGCGCCGTCCGGCTTTCGCGAGGCGGGGCCGGGCGTCGGTGACCTTACGACGTACGGTATCAACGTGCACGTGTCCACGCTCTTCCTCCTCAACATGGCGCGGGTGACGTACCGCGTCACGTTCACATACCGTGACTGCAAGCATGCGTCGATGCAGCTCACGCGGCGCCACTGGATCTTCCGCTACACGGACGGTCAAGCGAGCGAGGTCGACGGCGACGGCGTTGTCGGCTATTACCCGCTATTGAGCGCCGCGACGCCCGAGTTTTCGTACGGCTCGTACTCGGACGGCGGCATTGTCACGGACGTTGTCGACGGCCCTGGCGCCAGCCTCGCGAGTGCAGTCGCGTCGCTGGAAGGGTACTTTGAATTTGTACCAGGAACGATCGCCGCCCCATTGGGCCCGCCGCTGCGCATCCCAATCCCGTTGGTTGCGTTTCAGCTGCCGCAAACCGCTCTCCGCAGCAACGACGACGAGTTCGCCGACGACGACGACGAGTACGACGAGGAGAGTAGCGATGACGAGGCGTCGTAGGAGGTCGCAGTAGCGGACGGTACTGATCGCTCAAAGACAAACCGGATATCAATTTTGTCTTTTTCACTGATTTTAAGGATATTTAGTGGTCGAATTGCACTCTGTCGTCATGTTGATCTATCGCGATCGGGCGGGCGCACGCCTCAGAAGGAGCAACTTCGTGACGTAGCCGACACTGAAATATCATGATGGTACGTTGCTCTACACTGCACTAGACTAGTCTCCTACATGTGTAAATTCTAGTTGCCTACGGTAGGGTGCTGACCAAGGCCGCACGTCAACACGTTAAGCGACGGAAGAAGGCAAATTGGGCAACATTTGAAGTCGCATCCGGTTGACGTTAGCTTGACGCCATGCGACACGCCGGTGTTGGACACCCTTGTAGACACCTTGCGCTGGCCGTCATGTGGACACGTCGAAAGTTGTCTTTTCCGAGTCATTTCTCGAGATGCTACAGCGCACAAAAGCTGCGCTGGCGCTGGCCCTGATATGGCTCGTGCTTGCAGTCTACGGCATTGGTCTCTACCTCTTCGAAGACTCGATGTACGGACGGCTCCGGGTCCTGCTCGGCACCGCTACGATGGGCACGCTCTTGCTCGTGGTCTCTGGTCTCGGGCTCTTGCACCTCCTATGGACGCGCGCGAAGCCGTCGCTCGCGCTCTGCCTCATGTTGCTGGTCGCTGACGTGGTCTTTTGCAGTGTCGTGCTCGGAGGTGCGCTGACGGCGCGCGGCAGCGCCATGTACGCGATCGAGAAGGCGCCAACGCTAACGACGTATGCACACCGCGTGGAAGCCTACTTGGCCACCGCGCAGGGCTCGTATGCCGAGAGCCTCTCGGCGCCCGGGGCCCCGCCCGTGCCGGCGTACGACGAGGCGTACCCGAACATCGCCGCGTACTACTTTAACACGGCGTACTGCGACGCAGAAGGCAACGCCTACTGCAGAAAATGGCCGCTCAACCAGACGCTTGTGCGCCACGGCCTCTGGGCCAACACCAGTGGCACGGCCGCCGTCACAAAAGCGCTTGCAACGCTGCCGACAACATTGGCCAACGTGGCGATCAACGCGACGACGACGATCGACAGCTTTTGCGCGGCGGCCAAGACGGAGGCGCTCGACTCGGAAATGAAAGCGATTTGCCAAGGCTGTGCCAAGCTTCGCCGGTCGCCGCGCGAGCGAAAGGAAGAGCCCAAGTTGGCGACGTGGGTGCATACGACGTGCCCGATGACGGCGCCGAGCGCCGCAGGTATCTTTTGCATCTACTGGGCCACCTCGTGCAGCTCATGCCTCTCCGACTGGCGCCGGACGACGCTGGAGCCATCCCACGACGAATGTTTCGGGTTCACACTCCAGACGACGATACGCCAGTGGGCAGACGCGATCGCGATTACATCTGGCCTCCTCCTCCTTAGCGCACTCTGGCTTGGCGTCTGCGTCTGGCGCTGGCGGCGCGCTGCGCAAAAGAGCGAGACCGTCGACCTAACGCCCGACAATTGGCCGTCAACAGCGCGCTCTCGGTCCTTTTAGCACCACCAGACTATATTGCTCTTGTCGGTAATCTATCGCACGTGGTAATTTCTGGGACCAAAAAGGCGTACTGGTGGTATCTTGAACGGTTGCGATCCTCGAAACGGCAATGTTGGAGCCGCCAAAAGCGCGGACGCTGCGCATGGAGCTGCAGACGGTGCATGGAGAAGCGAACAAGCTCGTCGAGCGGTTCTCTGTCAAGCGCTGGCAAGAGCTTCTACAGCTGGTACAAATCCCGACATGTCTAGCAGAGTTCGATGGCGAGCGATAGCATCAGACGCTCGAGGCCCACGACGCGTTTCATTGCATCCCGCTTTCGGGCCACGACCGCGGGCTCTACGAGACGCTGCACCGGTCGTTTCCGCACGACATGGTCACCAAGGCGCGACTCTTGGGCGTGTTTCGCGGCATTTACGGTCTCGAGGCCGGCGCAGACGTGGACAAGCCAAAGCGCCAGTTGCTCAAGCAGCTCGAGCGACTGCATTATTGGTGTGAGAACTCGACGTCCAAGATCCCAACCTCCCACACGATGAGCACGCTCGTGCTCAACTGGCGCCTCCTCCTCTGCGCGTTTCGGTATGATATTAATTGCCTTTGCAGAAGTGTTTCGTATCGTGTAGCGCCTTGCGGTACCCGGCGCAGAGCGAAGAGGACCTCTTTCGGTGGAGCTTCCTCGTCTTTAGTTCGTCCGGCTACTTGGACGAGTCGCCGCAGGCCACCATCTCGCGCCAGCAGCTGTATGAAATCTTCAACATGCTCAGCCCTAGCCACGCGTGCTCGCGCATCATCAACCAACGGGTGATGGCCAACCTGTCAATGTTGTGTGAAAATAGACACCTGGTGTAGATTGCACAAGCAGACAACTTGCTCCCCGAGTCTGTTCTTGTGCGCGGTAGCATTCGATTTTCGCACATGCAGAGGCTCATGGCGCAGCCGCCGCTGCAAGAGCTCTTTGCCCCTGCGTCGAAAGCGACGCACTTTTTCCACGAGCTCACGAGCCCGTGTATTCGCGAGTATTTGTATCTCGCACGAAAAGAAGCCCAGGACAAGGCCACGTGCCAGCGGTTTTTGCGCCAATTCAAACGGCGCAGCTTGCGCAAGGTACTATTACCCTTTGGAATAGTACCCTATTGTACACACTACAACCTTGCATCCTAGTGCATGCGCGAGTGGTCGCTGTATGTCGACGCGCGGCGCCGGGCGCGAGAGACAGCCATTCGCTGCCTCTTGCATCTCTCGACGTACAAGCAAGCCAACGCGTTTGAGAATTTGAGAGAGCACGCTTTGCAAGACGTCGCTGCGTCCGAGATCCAGGTGCAACAGCTCTTGATAACCCGCCGACTAGACACTTGCGTAGCGTGTCTACCGTGGGCTGCGCGGGCGTAAACTCTTCCTGTCCGTCCTTGCGACGTACGAAGCCGCGGTTAGCATCCAGCGCATCTATCGGCAGCGCGGCGACCTTCTCAAGTACCTCAAGCGACTCCAAATGCAAAGTCGCTTTGCTGTCCAAATTCAGGTTCGTGAAATGGCGTGTGTTTTTAGCCAAAGGGTTAGGGTCTCTCGACTAGCGTATCTTTCGCGGTTGGCGGGGTCGGGTCCTCGCGCGCAAGGTGCTCCTGGCGTACTTTCAGGCCGAAATGGCCAAGATCCAAGCCGACCGAGCTGCGTTTTATGCGTCCATTCGCGACCGCGCTGCGCGCCAGCTTCAAGTAGCAACACTGGTCGTCCTTGGGATTGTCTCAGGATCCACGTAGCGCTTCTGCCGCAAATGCCACCGCCACGTCCAAGAGAAAAAGGCGGACGGCGACTCGCGCGAAAACCGCCGCGTCGAGCTTGAGATGCAAGCACTTTTGGACGCGGCGGCGCGTCAAAAGCAAGAGCACAAGCGCGCGGTCACCGAGTACTACGACGCGCTGCGCGAAGAGACGCGCGCGGCCCAAGCGCGGCACAAGATCGACGACAAGTGGCGCAGCTTCCTTTCCCATCATCGGTACTTAGTGTGTTCTAGAGAAAAGCAAAAGGTGACGCTGCTCCGGCGGCGGCGCGAGTGGGAAGAGGTCTTTCGAAAGCGCGACGAGACGGCCGCGGCCAAAGCGCGCGAAAAGGCCGAGAAATGGACGCAGTTGGAGGTGGACTGGAGCGCCAAGGTCGAGAGCCGCGCGAATCTTGTCCGCACGCAGCTCCAAGAGCTTCTGCTGCGACCGACGTCCAAGGAGCAAGATGCCATCAAGGCCGACCTCGAGCGCCGCACGACCGAACACTTCAAGGCACGTCACCCAGCCATGAGGACTCGGGTCGAAACCCCTGTAGGCGCTGCGGAAGAAATACAAAGCGTCGGGCGTCGCGATGGAGTCGTCCGAGATCCGCGAGCGAGCCCAGCACGACGTCCTCGAGGAAGAAATGGAGGCCGAGCGCGACCGCGTACGCTTCCACCTTTCCTCTCGCATAGCAGAATGAAAGCGCGACGTAGGTCCGCCACGAGTGGACACTGGCCGCCACCGCCTACAAGCAGCGAGAGCAAGACGACGTGGACCGCGACCGAGTAGGTCGTTTTGCATGTTTCTCTTTTTGAACAAAATCGCGGTAGAAAGCCGAGCTGCAAGCCGACGCGGCCCGCAAGTTTGCGGCCGCGACCCGCATCCAGCGTGGTGCCAAAGTGTGTTTGGCGCGGCGCCTCTTGTGCCGCAAGGTCGAAGCGCTCTTTTTAAAAGAGTACGACGTGCCAAGCGGCCAAGTCGTGTATCGCAATCTTCGCACGGGCACGCTGTGCCCGAAACCCGCGTGTCTGGGCTCCAAGGACATTCCGCTTCTCGACAAGTGGTACATCGTGCCCGACATTACTGGTGCAGTGGACTTGGTGGTGCCATGCATCCGAGTGTGCATGCTAGGCGAGGTCTATTACTACAACCCCAAGCAACTGCGCCAGTCGTGGGCCAAGCCCGAGGCGTGCATCTTTTGCGAGCTCTGCTATGCGCGCTTTGCGAGTGTCTACTGCCCCCAGCACCGAAAGGGGGTGTACGCTGACCCAATTTACGCCTGCGAATTGTGTTTTGCCGAAAAGTCGCCGTTCGGTACGCGTCGATCGCAGCGCCAGAGAATTCTTGTGGTGTTGACCTACGCCTTAGATGCAACGCTGGTCGCCGAGGCGTACGCGGTCGACGGCGCGCGGACGTAGCTATCTAGCCGGTCGTTGCCAAGGCGCCGGCAAAGTCGTCCGCGTCGAGCTCCATAAAGTACGCATCGCGGCCGACCTTGTAGTAGTCCTTGCGTGTGTGTTGAATGCGAAAGCCGAGCGATTCGTACAAGGCAAAGGCGCCCGTGCGCTCGACGCCCACATGCAGCGAGATGCTCATGGCACTACCTTTGTATGCCGTTTCCATGCAGAGATCGAGTCCTAGCGTAGTACCTCCGCATGCGTGAGATGGCTTCGTGCATGAGAAAGCGCCCGAGGCCTTGGCGGCGCCGGTGCGGAGCGACGGCAAGCTTGCCAATGTGGCCGCTGACCTACGCTCGTCATGACAACAGACAGGCGACGTCGTGACATACCGAGTTGCGGCTCAGCAGGACGTAGCCGATGACGGCGCCGTCGTCGACAGCTGCCAAAAACGTGTTGCCGCTACGAAGAACGTGATCAAGCGCGAGCGGGCACGAGTGGGCACAGTTGGATTTGGTTACGTGGTCGTTGCCTCCTTGAGGATGTAGTCGACGAGGCTCTCGTGCTTGGGAAAGGCTCTACGCAAAGGCGTCTCGTAGCGGCGCAGGTCACTTCGTGTCGACTCACTTCTTCTCGATGGCCACGATACCGGCGAGGACGGACGGCGCCGTCTTGCGGCCCACGACCTCCAACGCTACGCCCATGTTGCTGCACTTTCTACCTCCGTACTAGTATCCGGCATATGTGACGTGCGCGAACATCCGGATACGTCCAACAAGGTTCCCATTTGACCGTGCGCCGTGACATACAAAACGGCGCGCGCGAATCGGCGGCCAGGAAACCCTTGCATCATGGCAGCCTGCGCGCCAGATCACTTGAACAATGTATGCACGAACCTTTGTACCATGTGCTTTGGTCGATGGCGAATGAGCAAGGCGCATGGCGTCGCGTCTTGCATCAAGCGTCGTGTCGCAGTCGTCAACGAGGCGTCCGACCTCGGTACGTGTCATGTAAATTAAGCTAGCCGGGGCACCTCCTAGGTGTCTCTGTGCTGTGCACCAATTGTGATTGCGTGTCGATGCGTTGAAGCGGATGCACAACGTTGCATCTGATTTTGCTTTCGTCTTCTCACGGACCCTCGACCATCGATCATCGTCTTGTTCATTTTCCATTTTCCGTCGGCATGGCCAACACCGACGACCTCCACGAACGGGCGTCGTACATTTTGTCGTCGACGACCAAACCCAAGGCGGAGCTTGTTCTAAAAGATGGTTTCGAGTCGCAAGAGACGCCCAAGGACCTCGAGAACGGCGCGCTCGTGGAAGGCGGGCCGCTCGCTCTCTGGTCGCGCGAAGCCTTTGGACTCTTTTCGCAATATGGCGCGATTGGTGTTCTCTACGGCATGCTGCCCGTGCTCTCGCTGCCCATCTACACCGTGTACCTCAACATGGAAGGGTACCAAACCGCCTCGTACGGCGTCTTGGTGACGGTCGGCTGGACGTTCAAGGTCTTCTGGGGCATGCTCTCGGACTGTGTCCCGATCTTTGGCTACCGCCGCAAGTCGTGGATGCTCATCGGATGGTTCACCACCATGGTCTGCCTCGCTGTCATGACGTTCCTGCCGATCGGCGCGCCGTATTGCGACCGCCGCATCCCCAACAACGTCTGCAAGACGCCGCTGCGCAACATCAGCGACGCGGACAAGGCCAAGTTCCTCAACTTTGACGCCCCCGCGCGCGGCTCGACGTTTATCATTCTCTCCATGTTCATCTCGTTTGGCTACGTCATTGCGGCTTGTGCGTCCGACGCGATGGTCGTCCAGTACGCGCAGCGCGAGCCCGAGGCCATTCGCGGGCGTGTCCAGACTGCGATTTACACGGTCCGCACGATCACGGGCGTCTTTGCCCAGCTTGTCGTCGCGTTTCTTCTCAATGGCAAGGAGTACGGCGGGTCGTTTGACTTTGCTGTGCCGCCGAACGCCGTGTACGGCATTTGCCTCGCGCCTTGCATTGTCGTCGTGCTCACGACCATCTTTGTCGTCGTCGAGGCACCGTCGCATGCGACGTCGTTTGGTGACTGGCGCCGGTCGTTCTGGGGTCTCCTCCAGAAGCGCGTCATGTGGCAAATCTGCGCGTTCCGCTTCATCAACACCATGTTTCACAGCATGTCGGCGACCCCGACGTCGCCGATCGCGTCCAAGTGGGCCAAAGTCGAGCCGCTCAACGACTCGCTCTCGGCGGCACTCGGGAATGTGATTTACGCCGCGCTTCTCATCATTGTCGGCAAGTGGGGCCTCAACTGGAACTGGCGCTGGACGATCGCAATTGCGTCGCTCGGGATGGTCGCAATCGACTCGTTTGTCATGATGATGACGGTCTGGGACGTCTACCGCAACCAGTGGTTCTACACGGGCGTCACGATGGCCGACAACATCCCGATGAGCGTCCGCTTCATTGTCTCGACGTACTGCGCGGTTGAAATTGCCGATGTCGGCAACGAAGGCGCGACGTACGGCCTCATTACGACGGTCGGGAACCTTGCGTCGCCCGTCGCCTCGGTCATCTACAAGTACATTGACTCGTACTTTGACGTCTCGCAAGACAACATCTTGACCGACTCGACGCACGTCCGCTGGGAAGCCACGTACGTCTTCTTGATCTCGTACAGCTGCAAGGTGCTCGCGCTCGGCTGGCTCTTCCTATTGCCGCCGCAAAAGGCGCAGATGCAAGAACTCAAGCGCCGCGGTGGCTCGAGCAAACTTGCTGGCAGCCTCCTCATTCTCGCGTTCCTCGCGTCCATGGTCTTCTCGATGACGAGCTCCATTATGGCTATCTACCCTTCGACCAAGTGCTACCGCATCGCCGGTGGCAAGGGCACGGTAAACGGCACATGCCCCAAATAAATTCCAAAAAATATCAGTGACGTGCTTGTTCTCCATTGGTGTCGATTGCAAAAACGTCAGGATCCACCATGATTGAGAGTGCCAAGATGGTCGTGACGTGGCATGGCTGTGGTGCTGAGGCCGGTATTACTTGTTAGGCGAATTCGAGCGAGGTGTGTGCACGGCTTACAAATCACGAGTCAAAACGATGGTTGCCAGAGTAATAGCCAATCACATCGCTCGCTTTCCCGAAACCGTCGCCGAATTCGCACCACTGGGTCCGTTGCGAATGCATTGTATTTCATACAAAGCGCAAGACAAGAT